CCCAGGGGGATTGGTGCGCATGCCAGGTCTGACCTACAACAGTAATGGTGTCAAAGACCTCATTAATGCAGTGCAGGGGTACCAGGTAAGAGACACTTCTCTACAAATTAACCAAATATAATGACTGTTTATTAATACAGTTCCTATACATATAAATCCTCTTCAGAGTTCACATACCTCTCTGTAGGATCCTAACCTCCTTCTGTTGTGGGTGTGTATTGTCAGGCATCCACTGTGTTTGCCTTGAGGCAATCTAACTAGTTTATCCTGTCTGCTTTCCCTATTCTGTCACACATGCTCTGCTGCTTGCTTAGACTTGAATGGGAGGAACTCAAGTCTTATTTAAACTTGAAAGTGAGTGAAGAATCCCAGGGATATGATAAATAAGAGTTTAAACGAAATTACAGACAAACTTGAACTTAGAATGTACAGTATTTTTCTCCCATGAACAAAGTCCTCTTTCACCACCATGCTGGAGTTTACAGGTCCATGTGGCCTTTAGGTTAGTGTCTGTGGTTACTTGTCTCTCAGCCCCCTGTCTCTGTCATTCCTCCCCCTTCCTCACACCACAGTATACCCCCGAGGATGCTCTCATGCACGCCCATGGGCCTGTGCACGCTCACGACCCGGCCAGGACATTGCTTACGCAGCCCAAAGAATGGGTGTGTATTTAAAGTGTCTGAGGCAGGTGCCAGGTAAGGATTGGCTGAAGACTGAGTGGGGGGGGGGGATTTAGTTTAGATAAGGATTGTAGCTGTGGCTTGGGTCTTGACTGATCACCAGGGGTTACAACATGACTATAACATTTTCCACTAACCACACGCAGCAGTAATAATGGACACACATTTGATTGGGTTGAGTGGTTAAAGGAAATTTCTTGGATTTTGGTCAGTCCTTGGGTTTTTTCTTGAATCGTTTTGATCGAGTGCTGTTTTCTGACCGACTTCAGGACCTTCAAGTGTGCTTTATCTAATACTGGCTACTACACTTCTGTCCTCTCAAGACGTTATTTATGGGCTACAGCAATAGCCAAGAGGGCTAATTGACCGTTCGCTAAACCCCACCTCTGAAGAGCAATTTTCCAATCATAGCGTAGCGACCACAACTTGGCACAGCAGGCCTGTCAAGCTTTGGATTTCTCACCATACCATAACATTGTGAATGGGTCTCTAATAAGTTGTGTACTCTGTATCTCATTAGTTTGGACTGTTGTATCTTTTTTTGGACTGTTGTATATTTTTTTTTATTAACTTTCTACAAACAAAACGTAACAGTAAAAGTGTAAGGATTGGATTTAACACTGGATTTAACACTGCTGTAATGTGAGCTGGAATTGTTACCATGTCAGGCTACCTAGCTTAATACTGTACCTACAGAAGTAACCCACTTAAAATGACTTGTTCTCAACTAACTAATTGTAATTTATTATGTATTTATTATAGAGCTGAAACATTCACTGCGTGGGGGCCAAGGTGCGAGTATAGCAGAGTTGCTAGCACCTATTATAACGTTAGCTCTTTCTTTGGGTTAGGGAAATTTATACTCTTACATCTCCAAACAGTTTCAATTTTACTGGCCAAGGTATTTGACTCAATGTACTGACACACAGAACATTTTACACAAAGCTAAAAACAAGGACAACAAAGCTAAACAAAGATTGGTAAAAAGAATTTAAACACAGAACTATACATACGGCTTGGATCGGCATGAAACTCTCTGGGTTCAACTATTGGCCCAAAATATTAACAACTGCATTAAAATTCTGCCACAGTTATTGTATGTTGTGTATATAATGTGCTGTGTAGGGAGCATGTAGCAACAGTAACTCATGGGGGCGGGGCTTAGCAAACGGTTAATTGGTGGTGTTGTGTAATAATTGGTAATAATAATATAATAATAATAACAGGTGTAACCTTTAGGTGGTTGAGAAGGTGATGGGTAACATCTGGTGCTGGTGTAAGGGCTCTGGTTTGTGATGGTTTTACAACGAGATAATACTCTTATGTCTCTCTTTCCTTTCCTTACTCTCTCCTTCCTGTCCCCCCACCAGAATCCCGCGGAGTCCGTTTCTCTCCTGAGCAGCAGTCTGATTGGTCAGTCCAGCGGAGGTGATGCTTCTCTCATGTCCCTCCCCGCTCTCATGACCAAGCCGGCGGGGCAGTACCTGGACCTGACCCTGCTGTAGGGTCACATATATACAAACGGTCATGTGACAATTTGATACATGTCAAAGACTTGTAATGTATTGTTTTTTGTTTTTTTTTAAATAGTCTTTTAGATGTGTTATTTATATCTTTAAGAACTGAAATTAATGTATTTTATACCAAAATCATTGTGGCCTTAGCCAAAAATAGCAGTTTTGTCTTATATTGCACAGTGTGTATTTTAAAAGCTTTATAGAGATTGTTTAACATGTTATGATATTATAATCACTATGATATATTTGCTAGCCAAACTAGAGAAGAATGACATAGAAGCAACTGAGCTAAATCTTTTCCTTAAGCTTCTCTGTCAAGAGTGAAAGTGCGTCTGAGTGTGTTTAAGTGTGAAAGAGATGAAAATGAGTATTATGCATGGCTGTGTTGATACGTCTTAATACTTAATCTGTTTATGCATTACATTTTATGTGTTTATATACATTTGATACTGTACACAGTGATTGTATTGGAAGCTTTAGTGCATGAAGAAGTTAGTAGTAAAACTAAGATGTTTACATAATGCCAAATATCAATGCACTGCTAATCAATAAGACTACTAATGAATATAATAGCAGTATCTTTGAATGCATGTTACACTGTGAGCTTGTCTAATAGTCTGGTCCTTGTATCAGGCTTCACTTTACAAAAATGTGACATCTCACACTCATTAGCCCCCTCCTTTCTTCCTCTGTGTACACAATATGGGTCTGTTTCAAAGTTTTAGTAATGCCGATGTTGTCTTGCCTTTGGTTTCGGACTCACATCTGAACTGAGGGCAGTCCCAATCCTCTGTAACGTAACCACAAGGTTGCTTTCTTCAAGAGGACTCGTGTCACAAGCTCTCAGTTTACTGAGTGAATCTCAGGAACCAGACGTGGTTCCTGACAGATTTTATAACATGTTTGACTCCGATAAGACCATAAAAAGATTTTATCAGTCCATCACACTTTCCTTGTCTTCTCTCCACCATCTACACTGATCTTGGGGAATTCAATGGAGCAAACGGGTCTCCCTGCAGAAATCCCTTCGCCATTTCTCTTTTTAACTTAATGTCATTTAGAGAGTAGATGGAATGTTGAGAAGGAAAGGAAATGAAGGACACCTGACATCTTGTGAATTTAATTGCCATTTGAGCCCTTCAAAGTTGGTATTTGGGCTCCATCTTGCTTTATACACGTCCTACAGTAGGACTTCCTGCTCAGGATATCCTGCTGTGGCCATGTTGAAAAAACAATAAACATAACATGTGAAGTCTGCCGGCCTTCAACTGTCTGATCTCACTATTTGCCTTCTTAGCATTTCACCTCATTTTGCTGCGTGCTTTTCTGTACTTTGGGAATGTGAGTGAAGTGCAGGAGCACTAACACACAGGTGGAGTTGTCTGATGACAGAATGTGGCTGGAGGTGAAACTGTGGGAACTCCCTCACAATGTCCTCAGTGATTACCTCTGCGTTTCCCACATACACACACAAGCCACGGCAAAGCAAAGAATCTATTGTCACTCAGACACACTAAACGCATTATCTGAGAGGATGGCCCTTTTTTTTAACAGGGTGGAAAAGTGAAGAATAGAGAGTGCAGGAAGGGGGAAGAGAGAAGGAAGGCACACAAAAACATGTAAGACCCCCTCAGGGCAGATTTGGCATTGTGTAATACAATCTTGTGCACCCCACCCAACTTGATCCCTTTTAAACACACTCACTCATTCTCCCACTCACAAAAAACACTGTATAAACTGGCATAGCAACACCAGTAGTATCTATGCAACAAAGCCCAAAATATTTTTTTCTCTTAACGTTTATCACTTTGTTGGTAGAGTTTAGTGGAAAATATGTGTAGTGTGTGATTACAGATAGTTCTGAAGAAGTTAGTATTCCATCATTTGTCAAATATGTTTCTTTGCATGTGAAGTGCAACCATTTTAGCTCATTTTAAATGTCTGTTAGGTTAAAATTGTTATTTATACGTAATAATTGAAGTGTAGTACATTACAGTTTTAGACATACAGAATTATAATAAAGGAAAGTAATTTTATCTTTGATTATGTATAATCCAAAGAATATCAGGGACTGTTTAAAAATTATTAGAAAGTGGGGTCAGATAAAGGGAAGAATTATGTTTTTTTTTTTCTTTTTGCCAAAGGGATGTTAATCCGATTTAAATGACCAGTATGTCTTGTTTGAGAAACAGTAAATGTGGATCTTTATAGTTAGTAGGGATATAGCATTATCTCTCTAAAGACCGCATCACTTTTCCCCCTAGACTTTACTTATTCTGCATTATAATGCTAGTTAAATATATCATATATCATATCATATATATATATATATATATATATATATATATATATATATATATATATACACATTGTTGCTGTTGCATCCCAACCCCAATTATTTTTTATACAAAATTATATTTTATATATAAACATTTAAAGCAGGATGTGATGGATTATGTTTTAAAAGTCTTGTTTATTGACCTGCCCAAATAATTATTTCTATCAAGGCCCACATACATTTGCATCACATTATCATACCAGAGCCTCTCTGCTGTGCCTTGCCTTGAAGATGAATTATCTAGTGTGTGGTTCACTGAAGGACACAACAGAGGTGCAATTACAGGCTGACTCAGTGTACTGTACTTGATAGGTGTGTAGAGGCAGATAAATCAGTAATATCCTTTATAACAACATTCCCTCAAAGGGTGGGTGAGGCCTACATACACACGCAGGGCGAGGTTGATCCACATTCCCATGTCAGTGCAGAGACCAAAGATGCTGCTACAGAGTTGTAAAGCTTATAATGTGGACTTTAATAAGAACCTGCCGAGGGCAGAAACAACACAATCAACATATCCAGTACATACGCTGTCCCAGATGTGGTTGTGACAAAACAAGGGCTGAAATAAAGTTGTTGAGCAGCAGGGTTTGCTTATCTTATAGCTATTTTCCAAGAACATGACTTGTGAGATCAGTTCTGACCTGTAATGAAAACTCAAAATGCATGTAAAAAATAGCAAAGTCATCAATGATGTGTTCATCGTGGCAACACAGGATCAGTGTGTTCAGCTGCCACAGGAGCTGTGTCTGCAGATTTGTCTCCTTCTAGTGGGTAGATTGAGGCTGTAGCTCGCAGTACAATCCAGTCTCAACATGTCCTAGTCGGAATTCACCTTCAGTTCCCTCTGTTCAGGAAGCTTCTTACAATTCAAATGCTGCAAATATTTTGGCATGTAAAAATGAATATCTGACATTATATAAATACAACAAGCATATAAGCATTTACAATGCCTGCTCCGTAATCATAATATTAATTACTCTGTCTATTTACATTTTGAACAAACTGAATTGAAAGTGAACTAACTTTCACTTCAGCCACTGTTTTCTAACGTATAGAAATCTATTCTTCAACAGTCGTTGTCTGAAACACAGTTTAGGTATCAACATAGACAGAGCGTTAATGAAATCACATAGAACTTAAACATGACCCCAAAACAAATCAGATGAATATTTTATCATGTAATATATGTATCATGCACGCAGCACCAGTCACATCTGTAGCTTGTCTGTATGTGTGTGTGAGTCAGTCAGTTAGCCAGCGAGTCCATTTTGTTTTATCTCACTTAGTTTTTACAGTTTTAGTTTGATGACTATAAAGACCCGTCTTTCTAAAATAACAATTAAGCAATAAGAATTGCCTTTATGCAAAAATATATTTACAGCAGCTGAGTGTGAATATACATATGTTGATTGCAGCCAGTACTTTGGGTCTTCTGTTACCATTTCCACTTTTCTCACTTAATGCAAGGTCTTCTGCACTTGGCAATAATGTCACAGGGGTCAAGGGTCATGGTCTCAGAGCTCTGTCATCAGGAGCGCTCTTAGTATCTTCTCTCGGTCCAATCTCATTTCCTCTCCGCTACAAACACAGAAAGAAACAAACCACATGTTATAAGAAATTTAAAGATATAATTTACAAGTCATTTCATAACCAGGTAAAAGTCTCAATGAGATTTAAATCCCCTTTTCAAAGAGTGATATGTCCAGAAAAAAAAATCAAAAAATATTTTTGATGATTAAACCTTAAAAGCTTCAGGTACTGCACTTCATGTTTGACAATTTAAAGGCTATAAGGAATACAAACAATGTTCATGTCCAATGGACAAACAGACTGGAGCAGTTGATTTGCAGCCTTTAGTTGTGCAAACAGACTAATGTTTTTACACTACTGTTTCTTCATCCCAGTAATGTTGAAATGTTGTTCTGTTTGCACAATTAAATTCTGCCAATCAAACGGTGAGCTCAGTCTCTGTTTTTCCGTTGGAAGTTTGCCTTCCTCAAACTCAGAAGCCCCTGATCCAGCTGCACATTGCTTAGAGATGCAATAAGTTAGATTCTTCTTAACCTTTCTTGTACTTTTGAATTAATGAGATAGTTTAATGAAACAATTTGGTAATTAAATACATTTAAATATGTGATTTAAAGGTAGCTTAACGTCATCAAATCACATGAATTCCTCTAGAGTCAGAGATGGTGGCCACTGCTACTCTGTTAAGCTAGGCTAGTTAGCTTTTAGCAGTTTGTCTAGTGTTACTTATTTCCCAGTTGTTGTTGTTGATTCAGTTTAGCTACCGTCTTTTTTATGTGATTTCACAGATTCAATTACAAAGATGTTGGAGTGTCAAAATTGATTAGTCAGTTACAGGAAACACTGGGTAGGTTATCTTAGCAGTTAGCTGTAGCCAGAGTGCAAGCTTAAGTGCTCAGTTTGGTTTTTACTTCTGTTGTGTGGTTCTATCAAATTTACATGCTGCCTTTTCTCCCCAAATTAAATGGTAAAAATATGTCATAAAGTCCAATTCTCTTATTAACTCAATATGTGTGTTAACTTTGTAGCGCAGAACTGTTACATGGTATAAAAGTAGACCTAACATTATATACACAATATTTAGTTAAGATATATAAACAGGCATGAGTTTCCAAAATGATCTAAAATAATATCAAAACAATACGTTTAGAAGAAATGCATTTAGAAATTTTTGACCAACAGTGCTTGTACCAAAATAGATAGAAATATTTTTTGGCATTTTTCTTTTATTGGACAATGAAAGAGTAAGATAGGAAACGATGGAATGAGGAATCTGGCAATTATTTTGATAATTGGTTTATCAAAAGCAAAAATGCCAAACATTTGCGTGTTCCAGCATCTGAAATGTGAAAATTTAATGCTTTTTCTTTGTCATATACATATATATATATATAGTCCTACATATATAAACTGAATATCTTGGTATTATGTTTTGGTCTCTTGGTCAAACAAAACAAGACATTTGAAGAAGTCACCTTGGGCTGTGGGGAATCATAACAGGCATTTTAAAGACCAAATGATTAATCTAGAAAATAATCAAGAGATTGATCGACATATAATTTGTCACTTGTGGAAGGCTAAGCAAAATAAATGTGCCACAGAGAACATGGCGAACTGTGGCGTTACCTGTCGTTATGGGCAGCAAGGTAAGGGACCAGGTGAGGAATGGAGCTACGGTAGTAAGAAGGGGAGAGATGGGGAGAAGGCAAAGGAGAGGGACAGCATGGACTACTCAGCTCCAGTGCTGGCATATTATCCACCTGGAATACACATCAATGTGTACAATGTAATGTATACACACAGACACAGACATTCCTCTGTTTACTTACAGGTAATGCTGAGTGGCTGAATTAATCCTGCATAAGTGGAGTGTTGTGCATTAAGCAAACATGCATTCTTAGTGTTTTATTTTTAAGTTTTACCTGCGGGTATATGGACGGCTGGATCTGTTTGTCTAATGAGCTGGTGGATCCTGACTTTCCTGTACTCTGGGAGGAGATGGCTGCAAGTGCTTCTGGGAGATTATCTTCATCTTCATGGTTACTGACAAGCAATAAATTGAGAGAGACTGAATGACTTACATGACCCACAGACTGTTCTGAACAAAATGTCACTTTCAAAGAGCAGAGATAGCATTGCTTTCGCTTCAAGGACCCCACGTGAGTATTAGTTTCCAGACTGCAATTTCCCCTTTGGTGCTTCAACAGTAATCAAAGGTCAAGTGTACTCACAAGCTGAATTGTCTGACCAGTCGTTTTCTGCGGGTGGTGCTTGTGTTGACTTTGGACTGCACACTCTCAGGCGTCAGGTTGCGGTCTTGTCGATGTGGCGTCTTGTCAGTCAAACTGGATGCAGCCGAGTCTTGGGATGAGCTCTGATACCTGAAGACCAGAGTCATCACATGGAGATTTAGTGTTAAGTACACATGTTCATAAACATGTGCAAGCATGTGAAGATTGGGTGAAGGCACTGACCTGTCATTGAGGGTCTCATTTGAATTCTTCCCTCTAGGCGTCAATGGAGCTTCCTTATTCATCATGGAGAAGAGGAGGATACTGCTGTTAGTTACATACAGCAGTGGTGGAATGTAAAGTACATTTACTCAAGTATTGTAATTAAGTACAGATTTGAGGTACTTTACTTGAGTATTTCCAACAGTATATAAAGTAATTAAAATTAGCACACCTTAAACATATACAACAGTAAAATACAACATATTAACTCAGCAGTAATATTTATCCCAAAACAGCATACATAGTAAAACACTGACAGGACCCATTTTTCTACATAATGAGTACTTTTACTTTTGGTACTTTAAATGCATTTTGCTGAAAATACTGACAAACTTTAAAGGCATTTCAGTGCGGGAATCTTACTTGTAGTGGATTATTTTCACAGTGTGGTAGTGCTACTGAATACTTCTTCCACCACTGCTGTACAGTACTAACTTATATGATTAGTTGGAAGTGAACTTTGGTAGTCACCCTGAAAGCTGCCTCCATCTGGGCCTTGAGGATGTTACACTTAAGGTGGTCAGGGAGCATCGCAGGGGAGGAAGGAGGGTGTAGAGACTTTTCAGACAGCTGCTTCTCCTCTCCCTGGCAGAGGAACAGTGAAGAAGGTTAAGAAACAGGCAAGATCTTATTGTGTGCAGAATGAGACAACACCATGTACGGAAAGTGTCTGACCTTGTTGTCCATGTTGACATGCAGCGAGGGCCAGGGGGGAGAATCACTGTCTGACTCCAGAGCTTTGAGCAGAGACTGAGAGATGTCCAGCTCATCTGCAGGGCAGGGAGGAGCTCGACGTTCTAACACACAAAGATTAATGAGAAAACGTGATATAGGCTACATTTGTTATTCTGTAGACAATGCTATTTTATGGACACCTTTGGTTCTTTAGTGTGAACAGACTCATTGGGTTACTTAGGGAATAACTGACGACACACGGGGTGGGTTGGACTGCAAAGTTAGTATGTAAATGGTTTTACACTAATGATTTATCCACAGTGGCACATTTTTATTGAAACTTTAGTACATAAAAAAACTAATTAAAGTTATATAGAGCTGAGATTTCTGCCGCCAGTACAAAGGTGATGAACCACATTATGTTTGTATGCAATAAACAGAAATAATTTTTAACAGTTTTTACTATTTTATACCTTGAGTCTTGAAACTGACATTTCTGCAACAAAATATTATATCACGTTAATCTCCACTGTATTTATTTTGATGGCAGAAGTAAGCAGCTCATATTTTGAAATCTGTTGTGCATGCATGGCTAGATACCACAGGGGTTAAAGGATAGGTTGGTTTACAATTTTTAAAGTATGTCAAGTCAGGTGCAATCCTTCCTCCTGTTCAAGCTTTACTTTATCAAAAGCTAAGTTGAGACTTTGGCGGTCTGACCAATACAATTCAAGTGGGTGTTAGTTACAGCCTTTTTAGTACTTACTGTACATTGGAAGTGCATTGGGAAGGCATCTCTTTATGGTCCGTATGAACAGAAGGAATGATTACATCATGCAAAACCTGTTTCAGTGTTTATGCAGGCACCTGACTGTTGACTTGAAAAATTGTGAATGTATCCTTTAAATGCGAAAGTATGGTTTGTATGTGGATGAGCTGACCCTTAAACAAAACGCAGGATGCCGACAAACACAGCAATGATCATGAAAAGAGCATCAACACTCTAGATGTGTCACAGCTTTGCAGACAGATACACTGTTATGACAGCTCTTCCTAAAGCTGAGAGTACTCACTGTTCTTGGTGTGTGTGTGGCAGAGCGTCTCCTGGCTGTGTGTGTGGCGACGGTGATGGTGGTGAATCTTTCCAGAATAGGAAGTCTCATTCTCTTCGATGCTGAACTGATGGTCTGAGGCAGGACCACTTAGAGGGAAACTGAACACGACACATGCAATCAAAACAAATTCCCCCAAAACAAAATGCCACTTAAACTGCATATTAGGTTTTTAATATTCCAAATAAATCAGCTGACTTCTAATCATTCTAGCTTCATGATTAAAGGTATTAAAGCATATTCAGTAAGGTTATAAAAAAAATGAAGACATTTTTTGCAATTAGAAACATTGTTTATTTGAAGGCAACATCCCTAAAGGCGTCATGTGATTCAAGTAAATGTTGCAGAGTAAAAAGCAACTCACTATAACAGCACAACATTGGCCACATTTTCTGTAAACACTTGTTTGATTCAGCAAATCCATAACATGCGATAACAATATAAAGTTTATTAAAAAAAAAAAAATTGCACTTTAAAAGCACAACACCACACACGCAGGATTCTAGTTCATGCTTCGATTTCACATTGCACTACTATACATTTAAAAGCAGCTTAATCCCTAAACCAGCATTCAGTATGTGCTGTATGTGTAACTGGAACCCTTCCACCTGTTCAGAATAACCTCATTCAACACTCACTTCATCTCATTCAAATTAAAGTGATCTGGATAAATTAGCAGTCACAAGATTTCTATGGCATTAAGATAAATTTTGTCTTCAAGGCAGATTTGACTAGTAAACATATTGAGGCATTAAAACACCAACCATGAGTACATGAAAATGTCCACAGGCAAACAAAGGCACAAAGCTTTAAAATCTTTATTACTTGGCTTCTGACACTGTATGTGTGTATTTGAATGGATAGAGGAGGGTGTCTGTGTTTGAGGAATATAAGAACCATGTTGAATATTGGGACATTCTGAGTAACGTAAAAAAAATAATTATAATAATAATTACATATATATTTATATAAATATATATGTATATATTTTACTCTGATTTAGGAGATAATCTGGGATAATCTTGCTGGAAGCATGATGTTATCATGGAGTCAGTAAAGTAGCTGTGGGCTACAACTTAAGCCCCATTTTTTGCCTATACATGTTTACATTTAGGCAAAGTGGCACATTTAAAATGACGCCAAATTAGCTATTAGCCGTTCATGTTTGCAGTGTATCCATACGCGCACAGACAACTATCACTGGATGACTCTGATACTAAAGAAAACTTAAAAATGTGATTCTCAGGCAAGTTCTGGAGTTATAAGGCGCTTATATTTTTCCATGACATTGGAAATAATGCTATCCTCAGAAAGAGTAACTAGATCTAAAAGATATCTGTATGACATCTGTGTGTTCTTATGCCCCCAAAAGCTGGGTGTTGATAAGCCGGCCAAATCATCGGGCCAAACTACAATAACTAACCTCCTGTTGTTTTCAGAACACCTGTCCTGCACCTGTCCCTTTCACCTCACATAGTATATGACTCATGTCTCTCCCTCTGGACTCCCACTTAAACTCTCCCGAGCCCCCCTGGGGAGGCACGTGTCACAGTTCCAAAACATGTGACCTATATGATAAGGTCCTTTGTCCTTTTGGGGATATTTCATAAAGGTGCACTGAAACACAAGATGAGAGGATGTGACAAATGGATGATGACGGAGGTGATGATGATGATGATGATGATAATGATGATGGAGACACATTTCATCAGCAGAACTTCTGTCTTTGGGACACCAGTCAATTCAAGTCTCAGTGTTAAGAGTCTGGGTTTGTAATGGGTTCCCAGGTCAAACAGAGGTCAAAGTGCTGTCATGACCTTGTCCCTGTAAACCACACTGATGGATCCTGGGAAGGCACCGCTGGTTCGCTGCGGGGCTGAAGGATCACTGGACATTTGACTCGCAGAAGGTCTGAACATGACAGGGAGATGAAGGATCACCCACACACGAGCATGGATGTACACAAGACACACAGGCAGACAAACACAGACATATGAGTGACATGAACTGTGATGAAAAAACAAATAATGTGAAGAACCGAACAAAGAGTGTCAGATGAGTGACTTTGTCTAAAAATAGAAACTTACCCCCCCCCCCGGTTAAATTTCTGATTAAGACTTCTAAGACTTGCATCATCACCCTGCGGCAATTTAATCTCTAAACCCTGTTCTCTGTGGTCAGAAGTCTTACCTGTGTGATGGTGTGTGTCCAGACGGCTGCAGGTAAACTGGGGGTGTGAGAGCCGGGTGGGGCGGATGCCACGGCTCGTGACCAAGAGGAATGTTGTGCTGGTACTGTCGGGGAGGAAAGGAAATAGATTGAAGAGACGCTGAAATTAAATCTTGTCACAACGGCGAAGCCAGATCAGTGGCTCCTGTGTGTGTGTGTGTGTGTGTGTGTGAAAGTGGGTTATCTGAGGTCACTCACTGGATGTCGGCTAGGATCAGGGCTGGCATGAGAGCTGGAAAATAATGACAACAATCACTGAAGACATTTTTATGTGTTTGAGTGTTTTGAACAAGCAAAATATATAAAAGGCGTGAAAAAACCTACAAAGTAACTATTTTACTTCTTTTTTTTCTTTTACAAAGGGGTATTTTAGTGTTAGAGTTCAGATTATCCAGGCTTTTATGTGGATTAAGGTCATGGGTTAGGGGATGAGGAATGAAAATAATAAATGGAATGTCCTCACAAGTACAGTAATATGATTGTGCAAGTGTATATTTTGTATATTTGTGGGTCTGTTTTACCTGATATGTGGCTTGGCTGGAGAAATAGCAGCTGACAGAGCGAGACATGATGTCAGTTAGACAAGAAAAGCAAAGGAGTAGAAAATGGGATAGTTTGTCACTTCATATTCATTCACATGTATATTTATTTTCAAAGGGGTTTATCTAGTGTAAGTCTGTTTTTCAGTCCAAACCCTTTGCATACATGTTATTACTCAGATGCTCAGCTCCATTAATGTTTGTATTGCATGGCTGAATGACTGTTCCAAATCCAATAAATAAAAGGTGTCCTGAAGTAAACAGAGTTTGCAGTCTGCCCCTGGTTATTCATGTATAATAGATTATGGTGAGATAGAGGCTTGAGCGCCTGTGAAGCTACTGTAGCTCACAGAAGGTCGGAAATATGGAGGAGCGAAGAGTACTGCAGGTGCTTTTGACCAAGTAGAAAAGTGACACCTATGTGTAACAGCAAGGCCTTAATTAAAAAACCTGGGGTAACTGGGCTAATTCCCTTTCTCTGAAAATATTATATTTTCAACATTAATTCTGTAGTTTTCTAAAATGCAATGAACAGAGTGTGGCCTTTGTCATAACACGTGCAGGTACATAATGGACTAAAAGGGTGCTGTTAGTCATCAATGTTTGTATGCTGATAAGACTCACCTTTGCCCAGTGACTGTGTGCGGGAGGGGTATCTCTTGCTCGGCCTTCTCTCGAATGTGCTGGCTCTCCTCAGTCTGCCTCCGTGAGTGGCCTGATACTCTGTCTTACCGCTGAGACACAAACACATAGAACAGTGGTTCTCAAATTCTTTCTGTCATGAACCCCATTTCAAATGCCCCCGTTCATGCCCCCCCACCGCACGTAAACGGATTGAATTCTTATCAATCATTAATAATATTGGGGGAGCAACAAATTAAAAAGGAGCCCAGATGAATTTGATTGAAATAAAAGAAATGATCAGCAAAGGTCAGCAAAATATCACCTGCAAAGTGTTGTTTTTTTAAACCCCCTACATAAATCATGTTCATTCAACTTAGTTCCACTCTATATTTTCCCCTGGTCATCTGTGCTGCCTTTGCAGTGGTTTGATGCCCCCTCAGGGGGGCCTACCCCCCCAGTTTGAGAACCACTGACATAGAAGGAGGTGAAAGTATAAAAGTTATTACTGTACAGTGACCACACTGCAGTCTGACTTTAGTTATCGGGTGAAAAAAACAAGACATTTGTTTAGAATTCACTGCTGAGAAATTAAATCTAAAACAATTCATTCTTACTTTAAGGGTTTAAAATATAAACTTTTGACAGTTTACAGTTGTTTCTGTACCAGCATCATGAAAACTGTTCCTAAAATGTAATACATATACATTTTGATGAGACGACATCATTCTAAGTTTGAGTGGTTTTATCGGAAAGCATAGGTAAAGTAAAATTATATAAAATGTATACAATTATGTATAGTCAAATTTAAGTATGAAAACACATTAATTTAACATTTAACATAAATTTAATACAAAACCAGGATTGGAAAAATTAATATGAATTTACATGGGTTATGCATATTTAATATTTCTACTCTACTTACTAGAAATGTTTTACTTTTCTTTATAAGCATCTCAAGCTCATTTGTTTCTATAACACACTTACTCTAAAATTAAAAAAACTGGCTAACAACAAAAGTTACAGATAAGTGACACTGGTGTGTTTATTATACTGGATTACGCTGTACAGTTGTTCCTGTTTTTACTCACACCACCTGTAACTTGAGATTTTAATCCACTGACTCCAATGTAAAATGGGCTTCACGCTGCTTTGTTCAGCTGCTCCAATAAACGACAGGAAGTGCCCTTCGAGCGTGAGAATTCGCTTTCAACCATCTCTGATAATAAATCTCAGTCGCCATAGGAACAGATCCATGTAACCATAGATACACTGTAACCATAGATACAACGGCTCTGTTTTGTGTGACACACTAGTCCCCATATGGTGGTTTTAGTGCTGGCCACAACTACGAGCCAACTTGTATTGTCCTTCTTCAGTCTGTAACACACTTTACAGAGTATGAAGAGCAGGCGTGAGTCTGTCAGAGAACAACCTGCTCAACCTCAGCAAAACCAAGGTACTGATTGTTGATTTTAGGAAAAGGAGATGAAGACACACACTCCTCTCTACATCAGTGGAGCTGAGGTGCAGCAGGTGAACAGTTTCAGGTTCCTGGGATCAATATCACAGAACCTTACATGGTCATCTCACATCTCCACGCTGGTGAAGAAAGCTCAGAAACAATTATATTTCTTGAGGAAGCTTAAGACGGTCAAATTCCCACGCCAAGTTCTTGTCAGTTTTTACAGAGGAGCAATAAAAAGCATCTTGACTGGAAACATCACAAACTGGTATGGGATGTGTACGGCCCAGGACCAGAGGGCTTTGCAGCGGGTGATAAAAGCTGCTCAGAGGATTACTGGTACCCATCTCCCGAGCATCTGTGACATACTTTATTTTTGTAATTGTAGTTACTGTATTTTGTCTGCTACCTAGCAGAAGGGAGTTACAAACTCAATTCCACCTTACTACCTGTTGTAATGTGACAAATAAATCTACCTTGTACCTTGTACCTTGTACGCTACCTGAATCTGAAGCGGGACCCGAGTCGTGTGAAATCGCTGCGGCTGGCCTTGCCCGTGGTTGGTTGGCGTAGCCGGAAGAAGGCGTGGCTCTCCACGGCACACTTCCACAGGTGCTTGCAGGTCTTGGCGCTGGCCAGCTGGAACAAAAACGTATGCTCCTGCTCCCGACCCTGCACAGTCAGAAAAGCAAACACTGTTAGCCCCCTTTTGTGTGTCCCTGTGCTTGTTCGTATGCAGGGATACGTTTGTCACGGGACACACACACACCTGATCATCGTCCTCCACCACGACCAACGTGAGTCGACTCTTTCTGAAGTCCAGCCGAGTGATTTTGGGCCTGAATGGCACACAGAGAATGGACAACAAAACCAAGTAGTCCATATTAAATGGTAAATGGTCTGTATTTATATTGCGCCTTTCTAGTCTTTTCGACCACTCAAAGTGCTTTACACTAGATCACATTCACCCCTCTCACACACATTCATACACTGATGAGCCGAGGCCAAGGTGCCAACTGCCCACCAGTAAGGGAAATTGACTCATTCATACACATTCACACAGTGATGGAACAACCATCAGGATCAATTTTGGGTGATCAGTGTCTTGCCCAAGCACATTTCAACAGCCAGAGCCGTCTGATAAGTGGACAACCGCTCTATGCCCTGAACCACAGCCGTCCCATATTAGTAATTCAGGTTTTGAGTGTTATTTAAGGAGATGATTAGAGCAGTGGTTCCCAAACATTTTTAAAACCATGGCACCCTTCCAAAGTAATCATATTTTTCATGCCCCCCCGCCATGTTCACCTTATGACCTCACATCAATCTACAGGTGCTGGTCATATAATTAGAATATCATCAAAAAGTTGATTTATTTCAGTAATTCCATTCAAAAAGTGAAACTTGGATATTATATTCATTCATTACACACAGACTGATATATTTCAAATGTTTATTTAATTTAATTGTGATGATCAAAACTGACAACTAATGAAAATCCCAAATTCAGTATCTCAGAAAATTAGAATATTACATAAGACCAATACAAAAAAAGGATTTTTAGAAATGTTGGCCAACTGAAAAGTATGAACATGAAAAGTATGAGCATGTACAGCACTCAATACTTAGTTGGGGCTCCTTTTGCCTGAATTACTGCAGCAATGCGGCGTGGCATGAAGTCCATCAGTCTGTGGCACTGCTCAGGTGTTATGAGAGCCCAGGTTGCTCTGATAGTGGCCTTCAGCTCTTCTGCATTGTTGGGTCTGGCGTATCGCATCTTCCTCTTCACAATACCCCATAGATTTTCTATAGGGTTAAGGTCAGGCGAGTTTGCTGGCCAATTAAGAACAGGGATACCATGGTCCTTAAACCAGGTACTGGTAGCTTTGGCACTGTGTGCAGGTGCCAAGTCCTGTTGGAAAATGAAATCTGCATCTCCATAAAGTTGGTCAGCAGCAGGAAGCATGAAGTGCTCTAAAACTTCCTGGTAGACGGCTGCATTGACCTTGGACCTCAGAAAACACAGTGGACCAACACCAGCAGATGACATGGCACCCCAAACCATCACTGACTGTGGAAACTTTACACTGGACTTCAAGCAATGTGGATTCTGTGCCTCTCCTCTCTTCCTCCAGACTCTGGGACCTTGATTTCCAAAGGAAATGCAAAATTTACTTTCATCAGAGAACTTTGAACCACTCAGCAGCAGTCCAGTCCTTTTTGTCTTTAGCCCAGGCGAGACGCTTCTGATGCTGTGTCTTGTTCAAGAGTGGCTTGACACAAGGAATGCGACAGCTGAAACCCATGTCTTGCATACATCTGTGCGTGGTGGTTCTTGAAGCACTGACTCCAGCTGCAGTCCACTCTTTGTGAATCTCCCCCACATTTTTGAATGGGTTTTGTTTCACAATCCTCTCCAGGGTGCGGTTATCCCTATTGCTTGTACACTTTTTTCTACCACATCTTTTCCTTCCCTTCGCCTCTCTATTAATGTGCTTGGACACAGAGCTCTGTGAACAGCCAGCCTCTTTAGCAACAACCTTTTGTGTCTTGCCCTCCTTGTGCAAGGTGTCAATGGTCGTCTTTTGGACAGCTGTCAAGTCAGCAGTCTTCCCCATGATTGTGTAGCCTACAGAACTAGACTGAGAGACCATTTGCAGGTGTTTTGAGTTAATTAGCTGATTAGAGTGTGGCACCAGGTGTCTTCAATATTGAACCTTTTCACAATATTCTAATTTTCTGAGATACTGATTTTGGGGTTTTCATTAGTTGTCAGTTATAATCATCAAAATTAAAAGGAATGAACACTTGAAATATATCAGTCTGTGTGGAATGAATGTATACATTATACAAGTTTCACTTTTTGAATGGAATTACTGAAATAAATCAACTTTTTGATGATATTCTAATTATATGACCAGCACCTGTAATACTACAATAAATCAGTAGGCCTTGCCTGCAGTTTTAGGCTATGTTGGTGTGCAGATAAATGTTGAACTTATTCATTTACACAATTACTGCCGTTTAGTCCAGAGCCAGAAAGCATGTTACGTTACTATAACAACCAAGCATATTGTAAAATGTGTTAATAAGAAGATTCTAATGTTTATTGCCAATTTCTATTGAGTGTTACATAATATAAAAATGTTTTAACGTGGTGTTCGCCACAGCATCCACTTTGGGAACCACTGGATTAGAGATGCGTTCGATGTGCTTACCAAAAGAAGAGGCCGATTTTGTTGGAGCCTTCAAATACTAAGATGCCAGTAGGAGTGAGACCCAGTGCATATTCTCCTCCATCTCTGCCCTAAAGACAACACACACACACACACACACACACACACCTTTATTTCTCAAACACACCTGCAACGTAGTGTGTCTTGATGATAATAAAATACACTCACACACCTTGACAAAATGCATGTCTACTCCATAAAGCTCCAACCACTTGCATTTGTTGAGAAAAGAAATCTCTGCCTGAGACGGGCTCTTTCCCCTGCAGATTTAAAATAAGACAACATGTTGAGTTTTAACAACAAAAACATCACTCCCTCTGGCACCTCACTTCTGACAAAAAAGTAAACTATCAGTAACAACATTTCATGACCTCTGCAAGTAAGCTCTAAGAGAAATACTCAGTGGGTAACCTTGTTGCTGCATCCCTAACTCCGTCTTGGTGTTGTACGTAAGAATGACTGTGAATTCGAGTGTGTGTTTGTCCTTATGTGGATCAGTCGGCCTCAGTGAAGCGCAGCATATGTGTATATAATCTAATCCGAGATGGGAGCAATCAAACCGCGGCTGGGTTAAATACTGCTCGGAATCAATCAAGACCCTCCAGGGATTAATCCCTTAATCCTTCATACAGGCCAGTGAGAGCGAGGATGAGGAGGAGAAAAAAGGGAAGGGAAGTGAAATTTCCTCAGTGGAAACGCTGGCGCTGAAAGGCACCAGTGGAATGACTTCCTTTCCTGCACAGTGCTCTGCTTTTTGCCCCAGTTGTTTCATCCATTGAGGAGATAAACCTGCTCAGGTCAGATAGCTGGCCACTGGAAAGCCACCAGTAAGTTACTGTGACTTACTTTGTGTGGAAATGTTTACGTTTCCCTAGCTGAAAAGTGAAAAAAAGTCTGAAAAAATACCATTTTCTACAACTGTAAACGTTTAAGGTAAAGTCTGGCACTGAATTCAACTTTTGAACTGACCTGAGCTCCAACCACCTGCCGAAGATGTCGGCCTCCATGACCTCAGTCTGTTTGGGACTGAAACGAAACTCTGACACCAGCACAGGAGAGTGCTCCAAGGGATCGCAGTCTCCCAGCTCACCTGGATATGGACCGAGACATTTAAAAAGAATACAGGAGAGCAGCAGTCATTCTTTAAACATGAAATAACCCACTCATCCGCTTACAAACATGAAGTTAAGGTAATAAACTAGAGTAAACTCAGGGGTTTTGCTGCAACAGCTTTATTTGGTCTGGTATGACCAGGAGCGTATGGTGGCTTATGTTAGCAAATCATGGATAGATATTGGTGGGTAAGTGACATTACTGAGCCAAGTTGACTGTATAACTCTTTCCTACTTGTGCAACTGTTACACATGTTATATTTGATCATTTTTATCATTTTATCAATTATTATCCGTGTGACTACTTTTGGCCACAGTTCAGCAAATGTTACATAGTCTGTCTTTAAAGCTGCATATTCCTACATGTTCACCCTGCACAACTGTATATGAACATCTAATAGCAGATTGAAAACTTCTATTGACTCCTTAATTGGTTTTATTTAAAAACACTGTTTTCCTTGTTTGTACATTTAAGGAAGCCTTGACATTTGAGATTAGGCTGCAGTGGGTAAACGTTTTTAATGCATGGAACAAATTTTTGTACTTCATCATATTGTACTTTTGAATGCATCCAGCTAAGCTTATTGCTTGTCCTCTGTGATTGATTTTCCACTGACACAGATCATACATTTCTTGTTTTTTCCCCAATCATGGATGTCAACATCTGTCTCAACACACCATTGAGAAAGAGTTTTGAAAACACAACTACCTTAACACCCACTGATAAATGAGACAATAAATAAATAATCAATATGCTTTGGAAAACAGTTAGCAGTAATGTAATACATGATTTGAAAGTTTGATAAGTGACGATGTCAAGTCTACTTACTTTGTAAACAATATGCCGCCAGCTCTACTGAGACATCATACGGACATTTCAATCTGACCAGAGAAAAAGAGACACTGGTGATGAGCGGTTTTTAGTGGGAGTGAATCCAACCTAACACACTGTCATTCCTATGCTGTGTTCACATTATCATGTGTCTCAAAGACATCAGTCTGTCTGAATGCCCTACACTGTGTTTGTGCACATGTCAAGGAGGAGAGGAGCAACCCTTTTCCTAAAATAAGCAGCCCTCTCCTGTTCCTGATCTTGAGCTTTATAATAGAGCTGGACTCTGGGGATCCATGGCCCACATAAAGCCAGGAGGAGGGAGAGGGGTAACACACTGTCTGAGTGTGTGTTTGCACGCGCAGGTTTGTGTTTGTGTGTGAAAAGCAGGCTCCGCTGTACAGAAGTCCCCAAAACAAGATATAAGGTGAATGTTTTTTTCAGTTTTAGTTGACGTGTGGTCAGATTTAGGCGTGTAGATCCAAGGTTACGGTGTGCAAATTAATTTATCTTAACAGTCTTAAACGTCTGCAAACTACAAAGTTGTACATTTATTTGAAAAACTGTATTTGACTACTCACTTTTACTCTTTTTGATTACTCACACTTTTCAGAAAGTGTTGTAAATTAATTCCGTTATTTACTTTTACTCTACCAAGCATCTTCCATTACATTCCAATAATGAGGTCAAGATTTCCTAAATACAGAGGGACCTTTTTTTGTAGAACTCATTGACTGTCTATAACATATAGGTAGAATTTAAAGTAGCATATTTTTGCGGGGGGGTGGGTCCAACGGTAACAAAATCCTCCTACCTGCATGCTCACTAATTATCACATTGTTGAATCTGTACAAAAACCAAGGTAGAAAAACAGCATAATGCAATGTTACGGTGGGTCATGTGCTGGCTCTTGGCCGGGAGCCCAGACGTCACCGCGAGGTTATTATGCATAATAACCTCGCGGCCCATGGGAATTTGTTGCGTTTGGACAGAGCCACAATAGTTATTTCCCCATTCCCAGTCTTTATGCTAAGCTAAGCTAACTGTTGGCTAGATGTCGCTTCAGGTTAATCGTGCAGACTTGAGTTTGGTATCAATGATCACATCTAACTCTATGGTGTTATATGTGTTTACATATACACAATATATTCATTTTTACATGACACATTTGTGTGCATTAAGAGCGACAAAGGAACTTACTTGCCAGACAGAATATCTTGTCGAAGCTGCAACACAAAGAGATACCTGTTGGTGTAAAAAACAAAACACACACACAGTGAGTGAGAGGCTCACACAGAATAAGAACATAAATCAATTGATGTATCACAGGCTTTTCCTCATCCCTGACACATAATGTGTTTTAACAAGTCTCCGTCCATTTGGCCTTGATTTGAATCTGCCCACAGCAGCAAAGTTAATTAGCCTCGCGTCCCCTTTGGCCTTCCACACAGGGCTCCTGAGGAAACTGTGTGTGTGTTCATGTGCACCCGTGTATGTGTGATTTGTGTGCATGAGATTTTTACCTTGTAAATTCCTCATGCAGGTTATTTGGCTCTGAAGAGTAAAATTTCACCCTGAAGAACAGTCTGTATGGAGGCCCTTCTAACAGAAATAAACAGAGAGAACAAATTGATGGGAGGTGGAGAGACTGAAACAGTAATTTATTGAAAATGAATTCATTCAATTCTAATGTTTTATGTGATCCACTTTATCTCATCCAGCCCATCCATCACTGTCGGCCTGGCCATAGATCTTTATTCACCCACATTTTCTTTGTAACCTACTTTCCAGTTTCTTTCCTGTTTCACTTTAACATTGGTAAGAATTTCTTTTAGGCTCCTGAATTACAACTCAGTGAAAAAAAGACCCAGCAGACAAGCGGAACAACATCAGTGTCTCCCCCCTGCCCCTCCTGTACCACTCATCCCTCTGTTACAAGCTGGAGAGCAAACAAGGGTACGGCTCATAATGCACATGCTAATCACCATGTCAACATTGGATAATGCGCCACCTGCTCCCCACTCACCTGCTTCCACATGTAACATACAGTACACTGCACATTTTCCTGCATACACAACAAAAGCGGGCTGGTGAGTTGAACTTACCTCGAATCTGTTTCTTTATAAGCTTTGACATATCCAGCCAGTGCTAAAAGAGAGACAATAATAAAAAGGTGAGTTACATCAGCGTGTGGTCAACTGTGACAGAAGTTAAGAGCCTATTGTTTGTTACTCACTGAGACTTGTTCTGTGTCCATGTACTGCAATCCAAAGTAGTCTGTCTCGACCAGATCTATGTGATACATGATCTGGTCAAAAAGGTCCTGGCCTTTGGACTTACTCTACAAGGAAGAAGAACAGTACTTTAGTTTCATGCACTTAAAAAAATCTCCCGATCGCGTTGTGATGAATTGAGTCTTAAAACGGTGTTTCAACATTCATGTTGCATGTTGCATGTTGTTCCAGGTAATATAGGCAGGAGTGTCCATAACAGGAGCAAAATGACTTCAAGTTGATGTGAAAGCAGTTGTTTTTGTGTGTGTGTGTGTGTGTGTGTGTGTGTGTGTGTGTGTGTGTGTGTGTGTGTGTGTGTGTGTGTGTGTGTGTGTGTGTGTGTGTGTGTACATCTGGGTCATGACAAGAAGCACAAGCTCCCGGGGGAAAGACACTTATTCTTTGTCAATAACACACACACACACACCTGCATAGTACAACTATACCTAACCCCAGCCTGACCCATTTAACACGCAGTGGGCGTGTGGAAAGATGACAGCCTTGTACTTTGGATCCTGATAACCAGTCTAAACTTCCCGGTGAGTGTATGAATGTGTGAGGAAATCAGTGGTATTAAGGGATTGGGGACAGAAAAAATAAATAAATAAATCACCAGAATGCTCTTGCTCATTCTGCCGCATGTAGTTTAGAGAGGCTGATTGAAATCACAGCCTCTATCACACGCAGTGGCAATAATATCACACAGGGAAGAGAATATTTGATTGTTCATGTTTTGGCTACACTCAGCCTTAAGTGACAGACTAATGAGCTATAGTAAGGGAGTTTCAGTTCTGTTCAGTGCACCTGACATGCACAAACTTGTTCCAACACATCTTTGACTAAGCCGCCAGCTTGACAAGCCCTGTGTCATTCTGTCATTGGATCTGTAATATCTTGGCACAAGCTGTGGCTTTGTGTTATTGCTGTAATCTCCCTGCAGGACAAGAGAAACACTCTCTACCCTGATAACCCACGATACACCGGCCGAGCGTTTATTAGGTGACGCATGCTCGCAGCAGCTTTGGTGACACACGCAACCTTCAAAATGAAAACATCTTACGAGAAGCCACTTACGCACGAATGCCCACACACTCGCTCATCATCCCACCTACCCCTCTTACACTCGTAGCACTCGCCTGTGACACAGAGTCCCCACGGTGGTAAATCAGATCAGGGAGTCGGGGAATAAAGGAAGACAAGAACGAGGTGGATGGAGAACAGGAGGAACATAGGAGGAGGAGGAGGCAGAGTGTGAAAGAGTAAGATGATGAGCAAGGGAGCAGGCCACAGAGGGAGAGTAAAAGAAGATTAGGAGGGAAGTCAAGGGGAAGAGCGGAGATTGCCTGAGGAAGATCAGATTCAGGCAAACAGACTGACGGGAGTGAGAGAGAGAGAGAAGAAGAAATTAAAAGGACAATGGTATAAAAGAGCAAACAGGAGGGGGCAGCTTCAGGTCTGTCTTGGGTGGATTTCCCAGCAGTCAGAATGGGGAAGTAATGTCATGAATTGGCTGATCATAACACCATCTGGAGCAGCACCTCTTACTGTACAGGAAGAGACACACTTGCGAACACACACTTATACTATATAGGCCACTATGATCCTACAGGCAGTGAAACTTTGTTAATGGGTAAATTAATTGAGCTAAACCTTAAACACACACATTTTAGACACATATTGTTGTCAGGAAGAAACTAAAGGCGATTGCATGATTGGTGACTCCGTTTGTAATTGCCTAGCCCATTAAATGTCAAAAATGTGGGAAAAACACCAAAAGCTATGTCTCAGATCTCAATATAAGGTCTTCAAGTTGCTAATTTTGTTTGGCGACCAGTCAAAAACTCAAATGTATTCAAGTTACAGTGATGTAAAATGAGAAAAGAATGTTTGAGCAGCAGGGATTTGCGAGTTTTGGGCATATTTTCCTTTAAAACAGTTAAGATATAATCAAAATAGCTGCTTATTAATGTTTCTGCTTTAAACATACATATTTTCTAACCAGGGTTGTGTTCAATTCAACTTTTACTATGATAAAATAAATTCAGATCACACTGGGTTGCAGTTTCTTCTTCTATTTTGAATTTAAAAAGTTTAAAGTAAATTTACAACTAGCCTGACTCCCGGATAAATATAAATAATCGCAAATTACATTCAGTGCTGTAACCTGTCTCTTATTTTTGCGGGGACCACCAACACCAACACCCTACAGTGTCCCCACGGGGTCCCCGGGCCGCGTTTTGACACACACTGACCTAGGCTACCACCTAGTCCTGCGCCATGTCAGGCTACTCTGTTTACACACTCTGCCGGCCAGTGTAAACAGCTGTCAGCACACCTGACAGGCTTCAGCGCACTCACAGGCAAATCCACATTGACATCCGAGCCGTCCAGCAGCAGGACGCGGCAGGTGATCGTGGTCCTCGCCGTCCCGGCCGCCGGGATGTGAACCGACGCTCCCCCGGAGACCACGGCGGGCGCGTGTACGACCTGCTGCTGATGGGCCAGGAGCACGGGGTTCCCGGTCACCCCTCCTTCTCCTCCCCCTTTCCCGTCCCGTTCGTCCCTGTCTCTCGTCTGGAAACGGCTCCGGGAGCGGCGGCTGAACGTCCGGCGCAGAAAGCCCATCATCTTCCTGATCCACGAGGCGAGGAGGTCCGCGCTGCGTCCGTGAAAACTGTTCCACACAACAGCCGGTGCCGCCGGGGTCCTGCTTCTGTTGCTGCTGCCGCCGCCTCCTCCTCCTCCTCGTCCTCCCAGGGGCGAGGAGTCACTTAGCAGGCGCGGAGGAGACTTCAGGGCTGCCAATCAGTCCTCAGGCTGGATGTCGGCAGCAGCGGGGGGACTCCAGCCGCATACTAATGAAACTCACACAGATCAACCACCGAGGCGCCAACCAGTTGATTTCCAATCATTCGGCCCGGTGTGAACGACAGGACTCTTTCGCGGAAATACAAGCAGCACTCCTCCTCCTCCCCGTCCTGTCCTGTCCTCTCCCGTGTACCTGCCTCCTGCTTTGCTCGCTGTTGCGCACCGACTCTAAAATTCGCTGAGAAATCCCGTCCGACGCTCCGCAGTGGGAGCCCCTGAGTCACACGGAGCCGGGGAGGGAGGAAGAAAGTCTTGTCACCTCTGGACCGGACCGGACCCCGGTGGTTGTTGTTGCTTATTACCGACGGCAAACCGAAACTAGTCTACCTCACAGGTAAAAGTCGAAACTGGACAAACAGTGCGATCTGCGCCTGCGTAAAAACACAGCGCAGAACAAACTTCTGTTCCTGTCGCCTGGCCGACCCATCAGCGCCAGTGTACCAGCGCCACCTGTCTGTCATGGGCCCGCCTCTCGAGGGAGCTATTCTCTAAAAATCTGTCTCCAAACTACAAGGAATACAATTCTAGCAAGCAATATTAACTATTTTATTTATTTTTTGTTGGGTAAAAAATAGGGCTACTCTTAATTAAATTTTATTGCATCTAAACATTTTGGAGTCAGCCCATAATTTACCGGCCATGTTTCGCCTAGGTTATTTTTATGACTTGCAACTTTTATTTTGAAATATAAAATCAGTACTGTAAATAAAAAAAAAAAATACAGTTTATTTCCAAACATATAGCCTACCTTCCCAACTCTTCCAATCCCCACACCACACAACCACATTGGGGTCAACCAAAATAAGTGGCTTCCATGGATTTCTGAGAGAAAGTGCAACACCTTAACTCCACCTCATCCTTTTTAATACATTTACAAACAAAATATTTATGCCCTACTTGAGGGAATATTTTTCTCTCCTGTTATCCAATAGGACCTTCTTTCATATGCAGCAACATTTCCTTAGGCTACTCTATCGCCCAATCCTGAAAAGACAGTTGTCCAGGCGTCTTCCGATTCCTGAGAATAATTTTCTGTCCATCAGTCCATGTGTACATTTTTAACTGCATGACATCAGTAGTAGCCACAGATCTGCTCTTCCTCTACAGTAGAAACACACAAACCCTCAGATGTGCATTTCTTGGACAAAACCTTACAAATATGTGTTTTTGTGCATCAGTCTGTTGGTTCTGGATGTGATTAATGTAACTTATGGGTGAAATGATGACATTCTCTTACACATTTTTGTGGTATTAGGCTCATCAGTGGGTACTTTATAAATACTTTACCAACCTTCAAGCCTGCATCACACTGTACCCTTATGAAAAAAGAAACACAAATATAACACCATGAATTACACAAGTCCTCATGGGACTATTACATGCTTAAGTGTCTTTTTAAGTCAGTTTTTTTTCTCATAACCAGATTTGTGAGGGCTGATTTGTTTTAATACCAGCTTTAGATTCACTCAGCTGAGGGTTTAATAAGCACACAACTCTTCAGTGAGCAGCTTTATTCTGCAAGATGTGAAAGAGACTAGTATTGCCTAGAAGATACTGTCGAGCCTTTGAAGAATCTCAACAGAAAGTGACATATCCCCATTTAATTATCTAATTTATAACGTTCACCATCAGATGAAATGACAAAGCAGACATGTCGATATAAATCAGTGGGTTTATTTAGTGTCTTAATAATTTAAGAGTGTTGAACAGTGAGTTTGATTATACTCTGGTGGACCACCATGACCTTACTGCATTTACTATAGTGATCTAAAGGCTGCCTTGCTCTTTGTCTTTGGACACACAGATAAACTATACATTATAACGATCCAGGTCTGCCTCTGCTGCCCTGTTCGATCCATCGACTGGGAGGCGTTGGTTTTTAAGGCACACATAGCTTTATAAGTAGAGGCAACATTCCTGAGTGGCCTCTTGGACAGAAATTAGCAGCTCACATCAGTCTTACATCAGTCTCTATGGAGACCGAAGCTTCTACAAGTTCAATGCACTATCATTAAAAACTAAGGCAGACTCGGTGTATGATTCATACTCTCACACTGAACCTAGCTGCACAGATCACAGACAGCTGTGCTCTGAAGCTAGTTACACTCTCATAATCCAGTCTGGGTGCCAGTCCCATAGGCGCTGACAGAGGTTAATCTGTTACAGCACTGGAAGTCCCTTTGTAGAAGTCGCTTGCAATGAGATGAGGCTGAAACGGTGAGTGTGTCTGTTCTGATCCAGTTGCTGATTTGGGCTACGGTGCAGTAGGTCCCTCCTGTTTCTCTTTGTAGACTCGCACAATGGCCTCGCACACAAACTGGAACTGACACTGAAACACACAACATATTGAGTGTTTTTTTAGCTATTCGACAACACTGTAACACTGTAATTCTGGTTATATTCTGTATTTGTCCATCCATCCATCCATCGTCAACCGCTTATCCTGCGTACAGGGTCGTGGGGGGAATGTTACAGACAGGTTAAAGAAGCTGGAAAGTATTGAGAGACACATTGTTGATTTTGGTTTTGTAATGTGATTAGTTAAAGATAAGACACACCTAATAATACCAGCCTAACCCCTCAACATGTGGATCCTTAACATGGAGATTTGTCCTCTGACTGTGCATATTTGCCATTACTGTCAGACACACAAACACATGAGGGAAACCTGAGGATGCGTTCCATCTGCACAAAAATATCAGAGAGGGCACTTCAGAGGCTGGATCTCCTTTCAAAATAAGGGTGATAGTGGTAGCAGTTGTGGCCTAGAAGCAGGCTTTTGACTGCAGGGCTGCCATATTCCCAGCACTGCCTACCATCAACACTTTCCTCTCCCTCGACAGATACCACTGAGGTGCCACAGAGCACGGCTTCCAACCTCCTGCTCATCAGCCATCAGCATTATACCGTGGCAGCAACATACCTGTGAATTAATTAAGGTTAAAGATGAAAGGGCCTCACAGATGTCTTAACTGTGACATTGGCCTTTTAAAGTAATTCTGGGTGCAACCTCCTCTCCCTTATGAAAATTCCTTAAGTTATTTGTGTGGTATTCGTAGCAAAACTCTAAACATCAGACACACTTCACAATCCTGAGGCTGAAACCAATACATCCAGTTCAACAGCAGCTATTGAGCCAAGAGAAAGCATTGCAATACAAAAATGCAAACACTGTAAAAAGGAAACGGGCACCCTGAAGCTTATAATTTTGAAAGGAAAAAAATACCCTGTCCAACTATAACAAGCTCATCACGTTTCACCCAAAACATGATCTTTACTTGCACTCATTTGTTAATTAGTACTTCCCCACAAACGCTAATGTTCTCTGCGGTTACATCCTGCCTTATGCCAAGCCCTTAAGCTAAGAAAAAAGGTTTCAATCAACTGACTGATACTCTTATAAATTGAACTAAAACAAAGTGAACAGAAGCTCAAGTCCAGTTACAAGGTATCATAACACAATAAAATAAAATAAAGATTTTAATAAGGGGGAGAAAAATCACTGTGGCCACTACGTAAATATAAGCCAAGCTTTTTAGCATAAACCCTTGCTGTGTTTCTCTGTACCGTGGTCTGAACCATCATGGCTCGCTGATCTCTCAGTGTTTTGACAATGTCCAACGGGAACACTGGCCGACCCTCATCCAACAGAGTCAGCGCCGTTTCCATGGTGATCAGAACACCTGTGCGTCCAATCCCAGCGCTAATAGGGGGAATTCAAAACAAAGACAGCATTAAGCGCACAGTAGAGGCGGGCACAGTGCATGCTGGGAGTGTTCAGTTAAGAGTGTGTGTGCGTTACCTGCAGTGTACCAATAGTGGCTCTTCACCTCTCCTCCTCTCCCTGACCGAGCTGATGAACAACAGGAAGTCTGAAGGGTCATCGGGTACGCCGTGGTCTGGCCACGCAACATACTGCAGGTGTGTGACTGCACGTTCCTCATGCAGCTAACACACACACACACACACACACACACACACACACACACAAAAAAAGAAAGACAGATAATCAGAGAAAATTATTGCATTGCATAAGGTGTAACCTAAATCAGACTAACACTGCAGCGCTACAGGCTCAAACAGAGGGTGTAGTTGAAAAAACAGAGCAGGTGAGGAGACCAAACCTGCACGTGACCAGTAGGTGACACTGAGATTAGGAAGTGAAGAGGGACACAGTGAGATGAAAACAGAAAAACTGGTGGGGAGGAGAAAGGATAGAGGAAAAGACCAGAGCTGTTTCTAATGATCATGTGGCCTGTGACTCCATGCAGGGATTAACTCGCTCCGCCAGAGGAACAGATGGGCCCACACAGCAGTATCTGTGTATGTTGTGTGTGTGCATTCAGACTTCATGCCTCCTTGAGAATTATTGTTTATTTACCTGTTCCCCATGGAAGTAAATGTGGAAAAACAGCTCCTTTAATCTGATTACCTACCATATAAACTTCTCAGAAAGGCCTGCACGCCAACTCAACCACTCGTCCCACACATGAACATGGGCGTGCCACAAGATTTGTTAATGCACACAAATGCACACACACCGACCAAACCACCCACACGGAAGTGACTGTATGTTGCCTGCAGATAGTTTGCCAGGAGTGGCTGCTGCCTGTGGTGAGCTCTGTTATGTGACATATGGCTCAAACATGGTACATGTCAAAACAGAAAGGCTCCACATTGTGTGACCATAGTCATGCTTGGCTCATGTCTCATGTGGATATGAAAGCAGGTGTGAACTTTGCACTTGCACTAGATCAATCTGCATATATAGGATCAGAAAACAGTAATCGTCACAATATCCTAGAGCTTAAGGGGATGTATTGTCCAACCAAAAGCCAAAATATTGAACTGACTACAATATTAAGACAAAGACAAGCAGCACATTTTCATAAACAAGAGAATGTTTAGATTTTGTACGTTAAAAATCACTTAAACGATTATCAAAGTAGTTGCCAATAAATCATCTGTTGACTGACTAAGTGATTAATCGACTAATCATTGCAGCTCTGTTTGCAACTGTACCTGTGTGTGTTTCAGCGTGAACTGTCGCGTCACATACGCCAGGTTACACTCCTCCGAGTGACACTTCACCCGCATGTGCCCGTAATCCTTCGCTTCTGGCGGATGCGGCCAGTACTGGTGGCACTTGGTCTGCAAGCGTATATGACATCACCGACAAATTACATTACATCTGACATGAGTCATCAGTCAGGGCTCAATTTACTACTGCTGCTGCATCAGCTGCGCTCCGCTCTCATGAAATCAAACTCATATTCAACAGCTTGGTTATGTTCCGGCCTGGAAGTCTGAGGAACAGAAAGCAATTCATCAGGAGCAGGATGTGAACTGATTGTCAAACCGTGTGTGTGTGATCCTCAAGTAGAGAGAAACTTGGGGCACTTGGCAAATATCAGGGAAATGATCAATTAATGACAGCATCTGGTTACCAAGCAACAGCTGAGAAAGAGACATCTTCATTTAGGGGGACCTTGATATATTGCTGCCTCTGTCTCTGTTACTTCACCCTCGCATGATTTCTCTCATTGGCATCCTGCTCACTTTACATTTAGCTGTTCCCTACACTGTGAAACCCTGTAATTACTCACAACTGTGTCGATGTTTTATTTTTGCGTGCAACCATCACCGCTGAACCCTGTAATTACAGTAATCACGTATCAAATAAAACATCATGTAATAATGTGCAAGTAGCTTTGCAGTAATCACCGTGTTAATGCATCGATGATATCGAGCAGTGTAATTTCGAATGTTCCCCTCGCTGTTTACTCATTTCCATCCCTGTGTAAATGTGGCTGTTTACAGTATAAAAGTATGAACGAGTAGAAGTATATATACCCGTCCCCTCTCTGTCAGAGTTGTTAGCATGATGATGGTGTGTGTCTGTTGCTCCCAAACAGTCTGCCAAAATTGAGTGCAGGTCTGTGGCAATGGACCCTGAGTTGCAATATAACGTAAACATACACCAGACACTGGGGGCGCCACCTAAGAGACACACAAATAACACACACACACACACACACACACACACACACACACACACACACACACACACACACACACACACACACACACACACACACACACACACACACACACACACACACACACACAGGATGAGTTTACATTAAATGTCAGACAGGGACAAGACACGCAATATCAGAGATGCGCACTGTGATGTGGCTGGCATTGATGTAGTCCTCCTGGCCCCGGAGCACCACTCTGGTAGCATCATCTGAAAGGAGAGCAGCGAGTGAGGGCCAGATAAGGGGGAGGTGGGGTACCAGGTAGAGGAGAAACAAATGGCTGGGCACACACAGATCATCAGAATAACTCACATGGTAAAACATCCTTATATCGATTCTTGTCCGTGTTCTCAGAGAGCTGAGCACAGCTAAGTGACAGACCAGGCTTCCTCCGGTATAAATTCTAGAAATTACAAGCACACAAACACACACACGTAAACACACGCAGAGAAACATACACAAACAAAAATGACAAATTCCAGGCCAGTCACAATATCTTTGTTTTAGATTGCCAGTTGCCGAGTCCCAGTGAAGATTAGAGCCAACATCTGTATCCAAATCAGCACTTTAAAGGCTCATTATGATCCCCAAATAAGTGAGATGGACAAACTAAGTCCTGCTTAAAATAAAGACGTATTTTGGGCCTGCTTTAAGAGCACGTTCGCTGCCATCTACATTTCAAATACCTCAAAATGGAAACAGAGCGTGCCAGACTGTATTCCTTTGTCCAGCTGTCTCATTGATTCCTCCAGTGTTGTGACCCGCTCCGACTGGCCAGATGACTGCGGCTTGTTTCCCTGCGATTGGCTGGTGAGTGTGAGGGCAGGAGGTAACTGCAGCAGGGGTGCCACCCGGCCAGGACCTGTAATACAAGGACAGTTCAAGGCTGTGATAAATATTCATAGAAACATGCCAAGACAGTGCGCAGACTTGGATCACACCCTGCTTCAGCAGTTCCAGACAGACAGACACACCTTTACGTTTAATAAGCAAGGCCAGCTCTCTGGAGTGCGACTCTCTGCTGGCTCGTATGAACATGACAACCTGGTCATGTGTGTGTTCAGAAATGTCTCGGCCATTGATGAGCACTACCAGGTCTCCCTCCAGGAGTTTGGGCTCACATCGACCTGCCTGCAAAACAACACAGGCTCACTTAAAAGCTGACGTCTCTATACGTCATCTATATTTCAGATTACAGCTTGATCAATAAATCGGCTGATCTTAGCTTATTGCAGATATATCGGTATCAGTGTATGTCAGCTGATAAGTACAAAGAAATACCAAACTTGGTTTGAGGAACTTCAGAAACAGTACCACCATTAGATTTCAACTGTAAAAAGTTTTGCTCAGTATGTATCTTGGTCACAATAAAAAAAATAAATAAACCCAAATCTTTGTGATCTGAATCAAGATATTTTGTTTTGATATTATCATTATCAGGTATCTGATTTTATCAATATCTGTTTCTTTTTTTGAATGATAAATTAATCTGTCTGTGAAAAGTGGAAAAATGTCCAGTGTCATCAGGCTAAATATACATCCACCAGTCCAGACTGTGTTTACATTTCATCAGAAAGCTACTCTGACACAACCAGGAGACACCAGCCCGTCAAAATACAAACACATCTGAGTGCGTTCTTACCGGAGAGTCGGGTTTAACATGGGATATGGCTAGAGGCATCTTCTGATCCACCCCACCCTTGGAGGAGTTGGGAAATGATATGGAGCAAGAGTGGAGGAGTGACAACACAAACGTAATGTGTGTGAGTAAAACAAAACATAAAACATTAAACTTTATGCCTTGTGTAGAGAAGGTAAGAGACACACAAAAAGTGTAAGAGTGGGACCCACTTTAACATTGAAGCCAAACTTGCCCTCGTGATCGGGGGCAATACATATTAGCATCAAGTCACCATCGCCGAGAGCTCCCTGCATAGACACAAGTACACAAGAATCATCGTGCATATGTGCACGCATATGTGGATAGACAGTAAAGCAGTTCTTCAGAGGTGATAATGAGAGAACGGACCTTATCGTAGTGGTGTAAGCTGCGATCACCATCCTCCTCACCTATACTGTCATTAGTTTGCAGCAAAGCCCCATCTGTCTCATGGTTGTACATGCCAGAGAGCCTGCAAGAGATGAAATAAAGAGATCACTTTCAATCAATTTTCTCTGATTTGTAGATTAACAGATGACTTTCAGATGAGATCATAATATAATTCTGTTACTCTTATATTGTAATAATTTTTTCTCCTAACATAACACACGTCAGGGCTGAATGATTTGGGGAAAATAATTTCTTTTAACCAATATTGCGATTGTGATTTAAATGGGAATTATTTTCTATTAAAGTTCTACCTGGTGGTCACAGTATTAATCATGCTAGGTTTGTATAATGATCACAAATTGAACCACTCTCTATCTTTCCAAACATCCAGATATCAAAATGATAATTCTTTCTCAAATTAACCATCTTTGGCCGAGGCTAATAAGTGTAGAAAGACGCATGCAAAATGGTACAATAAAAATTATTAATCTTTCAGCCCTAACAAATGTCGCGCCACCAAAGCCCACTCGACTGAGAGGGAGGTTGAGCGTGTGCCTAAGAAGAAGATAGCCACCATTTCTGTTGCGGTGAAGCGTCTCCCTCACTGTCCTTGCTGCTGCTCACAGACGCCCTGTATGTGTAGAAGACATCCTCCCCCTCTGACATGTCTTTCAGGTCATTGCTGAACTCAACCGAGGATGGGCGAGGTTTACTGATGCCGTGGCGAACTCGAGGACTCCGCCTGCCAGAGAGACAAACCATGAGGTCAAAACCAGGTGAGTGTAATAAAATTGTAAAATATTATATTGAATGACAGGACACAAAAGAAAAATGAGATGCTGGGGCCTTTGACAAAAACTGCAGCTTCTCATTATAGCTGGGGATGATTCTACAGGTCGTACCAGTTGGGGGTGGTTGGAGGTGATCTAGAGGGCAGACTCTTGGTTTCAAGATGCTCTGATGAAATCGACCTCTGCAGGACAGGGTTCCACACCATCCCTCCCACCACACGCTGGCACACTGGACCACTGCAAATTAGGAAGGAAAGGAAAGAAAATTTGTCCAACTATTTATGACATGAATGCACAAGTGAATGTGTGTCCAGGTGCACGCTCACCTCTCAGTTTTACTGTTGCCGAGGCCCAGGTGTTGTGTTATCAGCATTCTGTAGGACTGAACTGTGCTGTTATTGTGTTTGGGAGTCCTAGCAGTCCGGCTGGAGCTGAAGAAGGAGTGATGATCCACACATGACCGCCACAGGTTCTTACAGGTCTTGGGGCAAGGCAACACCAGAGGTACTTCACAATCCTGGGTCTCCCCCTGCAACATTTTTTTGTAATGCTTTATAATGTAGATTATATATACATATTTAAGGTCACATTTTTATTATGTAACTTCAGCTGCTCAGGTTGCATTTGCACTCTTCTCATATTTTTAATGAATGATTTATTACTTACTTACTGCCAAAAGTGTGGATATCAATAATTCAGTCAACGCCATAGTCACATCTATGTAGACCATGTGGTAGTCAAGCCTGTATTTGTGATTTTCTTCTTAAAAAATTTAAGTGTTGAGCCTAAATTCCTCTGCCCCACAAGAAAAAAACCCAAACTTTTCTAATTTTAGCAATAACTAAATCTCAGCTTTCTCATCATTCCAAAAAAATGTGCTGATTCCAAACATTTAATGGATTTACCAGCCAAGAGTGTAGAGTAATTAAAATCAGCAGTTTCTTCAGAGCAGATCTTTAACCTATTTGGGACAAATTAACAGTAGAGGGACTCACATGTTTACGTTTCAGATGTATAAGAAAGCGTTTCCTCTTGAATGAAATCTTGATGATGTTTCCCCTGCATGTAAAGAATGCACTCGGCTGGAGGCTTACAGAAAATACAGTACAATACAATACAAGCCGTGCAATTAGTGGCATCATCACTCACCAGGGGAAGAAACTGGAGCAAATCATATTACAGAACATCGCAACACCACTGGAAGCCAAACCTACCATCATGGGGGCATTGTAGGCGTCCTGAGAGAGAGAAAGTGGAGACAAAAAGTGACAAAGTGAGGAAGTTGAGCTAGAGCACGAGATACTACACGACAGTTTAATCGAGGCAATGACACTACCATGGCAGCATGTAGCTCCACTCCATACAACTCCAAGGTCCGTGCTGTGTTGAGGAAACACAACTCTGCCTCGCTCTGCTTAAGCCCCCTGGGAACAGGGAACACACACACACACACACACACACACACACACACACACACAGAGTCACATACAACACCAGGAACGTACTGCACAACAAACCAATTGTTTTTCAGTGGCAACTACATAATAATTAACTGTCTGAATTACTTGTGCTGTGGATGCAGATCCTCCACTTTAGACAGGAAGTCTTCATCCTGCTCAGGAATGAAGTGGCACTTTGAGAGGTAACCCGGGAGTCGGGACGGACAATGATCCCCCATCTCCGCTGTGGGTGGGTGACAAAGACACTGAGCATACATAACCAGATCCACACACTGACATCTGGGGTACTGTAAGAGAGCTGCTGCTTATTGAGAGCCTCATCAACAAGAATAATTACCCACACAGTCATTATTAAGTCATTAATCATTTGTTTCTCTAGGAAGAGATAGGACTTACACTGCACAGCATAAGAGGCCAGCACTACAGCTGCACTCAGTGGGCACTTCAACCTGCAAATCACAGTCCATGATTCTACATGGTAACAGCTAAATACAAACACACAGGCATTGGTGGTTGAGTTTGTGTGATTACTGACCGTCCTTCTCTAATGTCACTCCTGATCTGGAGGAAGTACAGGTGCCTGCAGGGAAGAGAAAAGGGGAACTTTACCAGCTCAAGCCTGTATTTTTTCCCTGCAGAAACCCCTTTAAATATATTGATGTTTTTAGCCACGCTAGCAGCCTGGCTCTAGGGGTGTCAATGTCCTGATTCAAATATGACAACTATTCAGTGGATTGCAATTAAATTTTCTGCAGACAGTCATGGTCCCCAGAGGATAAATCTTACTAATTTCGATGATCGCCTGACTTCATATCTGTCCAGTCAAATTTGTATCTTATCCTAAGAAATATCACAACATCTACAACATAGATTGGCACAACATTTTCTACAGACATTCCTGGTTCCCAGAGGATGAATCCTACTAACTCTGGCAATCCTCTGAGTTTTCCACGAGCGCCACCATTAGGTTAATTAATCTTTGTGTGTTGTGAGTGAAGTATGTCAACAACTAATGGATGGATTGCCATTAAATCAGGTTCACAGGTTCAAGCCCCCATCAGGATGACTTATAGTAACTTTGGTGATCCCTTAACTTTTCATCCAACGGCATCATCAGGTCAAAATATGAATTTGTCCAACACTGCAGTTCATGTACAAATATCTTCAAGAAGTCATGGTATTCCCATCAACCAAGGTTGTACTTTGTGTTTAGTGATAATTAGCTAATGTTTGCATGCTCACACGCTAAACTAAGATATTGAACAGGCTAAACATCACACCCACTGAATACTTTGTCACTGTGAGCATGTTGTCATTAGCATTTAGCTCAATATCCTGCTGTTGGTTTTGCCTCACGGAGCAGCTAGCATTGCTAGCATTTAGAGCTTCCACATCACTAAACATCACATTGTATCACAAAAACAGGAATTTATTTATTTGGCCAAGGAGTGAGCCAAACATTGATGGTGAACTAAAAAAACAAACATACACTAACCTTGTCTGTTCATGCTGCAGAGAGTTGGGATCAGAGATGAAGAATCGTACTCTGAAGTTTAGATAAAAGGGGGAAGCAAGACCTGCAGAGAAATGTAATCTAGTCAAAAATGGCACATATCTAAGGTCAAAAGTTCACATCCCTCATCTACCAGACCTCTTCTCTCCTACACCTCCAATCTATAAAAGTATTGAAATATACTTTAAAACAAAAATGTTTTAAAGTATATTTCAATAAAAATGTTTCTGTCTAGAGAAGTAATTCTTGGTAAAGACAGTGAATTCTCTGGAACCAGAACAAGCCAGATACCTTTTATCTGCTTCTTCAAGGGTTTCTCAGGCTCCAACCATCTCTGAGAGAAAGAAATTCATTAAGTTTAATGGTTAACTGGGGCTAAAATCAGCATTTATGTAAGCATACCCTGTGGTTATCATCGTCTAAACAGCAATCAGCGAGTGCAGTACATTACAATCTTGGCCTAAATGTGCATCAGATGAACAGTGAGCTCACGGGAGAGTGTGTGTTGGCTGTGATAGAGGCGATGGCTGTGCTGGATTCTCTGATCTGCAGACTGAAGAGCTGCCTCTCTTGCAGGCCCAGGTGGTCGCATACTTGGTCCAACAGAACCACACCTTCATCCTGCTTCTGAAAGATGTAAACAACAAATAATATTAATACCAGCCAGAACTTTGAGTGACATTTAACGGTTGCTCATTTGTACATCTAAATATACTGTGTCATATGCTGTAGCACTGCTTAATGTACAGGTGCTGGTCATATAATTAGAATATCATCAAAAAGTTGATTTATTCAGTAATTCCATTCAAAAAGTGAAACTTGGATATTATATTCATTCATTCCACACAGACTGATATATTTCAAATGTTTATTTCATTTAATTGTGATGATTAAAACTGACAACTAATGAAAATCCCAAATTCAGTATCTCAGACAGTTAGAATATTGTGAAAAGGTTCAATATTGAAGACACCTGGTGCCACACTCTAATCAGTTGATTAAGTCAAAACACCTGCAAGTTTCACTTTTTGAATGGAATTACTGAAATAAATCAACTTTTTGATGATATTCTAATTATATGACCAGCACCTGTATATACATGGATCATTATTATGTTTTAAAGAATGTGTGAGTTTCTCTGCAGTTATCTTGAATGTTAAAAATTGATGTAAATCAGAAAGAAACATCAATAATGCATACTGCCAGGTGAAAATCAGATTTCCAAAAGACCATCTGCAGCACAGAATTCTGTAGTTTAACTATTCATTGTATTATTAATCACTCAGAGGGATAAACCGCAGCTCATTCGCATTTTCTGTTACCGGAAGCGTATTCACGTCACAAGAGGATCGTGTTTACTGTAAACTGCGGCAAACAGTGTGCTGTTGCAGCAGGAAACACAATCATTTTGTATGTTAGTGGACACAACATCCAGGCGAAGATCAGTTTAAACTGGCCTCAAACACCTGTTCTTTTTCAGTGAAAATATGTGAAGAACAAAAACAATAACCCTTATTCAAACAAGAGAAACACAGGAGGCATAAAAAGAGAGTAATGGAGGGTTTAAAATTGGAATCCTTCTGCACATTATACTGTACCACCACAGCGCTCTCCCTGCTCTCCCATCGTTCACATAAAAATGCTGCACAGCTACCGTCCTAGAAAGCAATATTGTGATTGCCGTTCTGCATGCGTGTCAGTGTGTGTGTGTGTGTTGGGAGTATACATACTGCTGTCACACTGCGTATGACCCATAATATGCTGATGGTGAAAAGGCTCCCAAGTGTGACAAGCTCCCTAAGCTGCGAGAGGTTAGCATGTCCTTTAAAAGCCAAGGTCACGGTTTTGAACAAGAGATGTGGATCAATGGGAATGGGAAAGAATAGTTGGCCACCAGATCATGCACTGACAATACGATCATTAGCAGTGCACAGAGACAGATAGGAGCAACACATGATCTCCTCATGGACAGACAGGAAACGCAGTGTTTGTGTGTGTGTGTGTGTGTGTGTGTGTTACGCACGCTGACTCTGAAGGTCTCGATTGTGCCGTCCAGCAGCTGAACTAGGCAGAGCAGGTCCGGTTTTGGCATGTCTGTTACCACGGTAACTCTGCCTCCCTCTCAAGAAGACAAACACCCTGCCCTCAGCTCCTCACTGAGAGGGGACCTGGAAACACACACAACCACAAAAACAGTGTCAGATGTTTCCAGGCTGTTGTCTTCAATTGAAGGCACCTCCCTCAGGATGACATTGTGTGGTGAGTAACATATGTGCTGGATGGAGCATCGGGCTGCAGTGAGTAATGCATCGTGAATGCAAAGGAGTGACTGTGTGTGCGTGTATGTGTGTTTGTGTAATTCCTTATTATTTGGCCTGGGTCTGAACATGTCCCTTCCCTCTGCCTGCTGCTCTCCCTCTGTGCCTCTCTGCCTTTCGCAGGCAGCTGAATGATAAGAATGTTAAACATTTTCAGAGTCGAACACGCCCATCTACAGGGCTGCTGACTGATCTCAGAGCAGCCGCTGGACACAATGCAAACATGCACTACTAATGCATGCATGCCAATAACTTACTCTGGCTTTGAGAATACCTATCAATGTGTGTGTGTGTGTGTGTGTAAGCGAACACCTATATGCATGCAAGTGTATGCACGTACATGTGTCCTGTGTTGGTTTCCAGGTAAACGATTAATGGATCCAGGCTGGCCTGTCTCTCACTGCTTCTGAAAGGACACAGTTAATGTTTGAACACAGTGACACACACTGAATATATTAAGAGCTGGTCCCAGTTTGATGACTTGTTTTCCATAATAACCCTCTCACAGGCGGGCATCTAATGAATTTACAAGTAAATGTTACATTTAAAAGCAGATACACCACCATGTAGAGACTATGACTTCACTGGGTGTTTTGCATCTTGCATCTATTTCTGATATGTTGAGGTTTGTGGTCACATAACAGCTACAGATGAGGAAATAAGGACAGTCTCACTTTATGATGCTTTTAACACACATAATTTTTCTGCCATGTCGTATCTCCAAGTTAAATGTGTATAAGTCTATTATAGAATGTAAAAACACCTACAACAAATGGTAGAGCTCAAATCTACAGCCTGCTTCACCTTCCAGCCTGCCAATGAATAAACAGGGCCTATCTTAGTGTGGAAGGCCCATATTTTTGTTGCCCGACTCCCAATCTGTAACGGACTCTGCGGTGACCCCGCTGTACTTTGAGCCACAGCGCGAACAAGGAACCTGTTGACAACCTGAATTTTTTTGCAGCTACACCCAAAAGGAGGAACTGGCTCCAACTTTCCTCCAACCACGGCTATACTCGTAACTACAACTTGGCCAAGTGAATGTTTTGTTGGGAAGAGAAGGTTTAAAAGACAAAAACAAGATGTGTACCTCAGTCGTCCCGCTTCAGAGACGTATCATGATCCTCAGACTGTCCGCCGCGGAAATCTCGGTAGCCTACGGGGTGCGTCGGAAGAGCCAGGTATAGTTAGGTAAATATCCGGGACAAGTTTCTCATCCCTGTCTGCGCTGACTCCGCGCGGCCCCGCCCCTTCGCCGCGCGCGCTCCCGGTGGGATGCGCGCTCAAGGGGGCGCGCGCAAAGTGTACAGTACAGAGAAATACAAACCATTGCATGAGAACAGTGGAGTAAGAAGTACCAAAGTAAGATCTTTTAGTTAAGTAAAAGTAGCAACACCACAGTGTAGTGTGTGTGTGTGTGTGTGTGTGGGGGGGGGCATTTTAATTATTTTGCTAGCTTGTGAACCCTTTATCTTGTGTTATTTTGACTGATACCAATACATTATATCATATTAGTTCATTATATTTTGTATTATTAATATGAATCTGCAAAGAAACTAGAAACTAAAGTTATTATTGTAAATGACCAAAAATGACAATATTTGCCTCTAAAATGTAGTGAAGTAGAAAGTGGCATGATAAGTAAAGTCCAATTACCTCAAATTTGTAGTGAGTACAGTACATGAGTAAATGTACTTAGTTACTTTCCACCTCTGTATTACAATATATTAATTTGGCAGATGCATTTGTCCAAAGCGACTGACAATAAGTGCATTTAAAACATGTTGGAGGAAGAGTTATAATTAAACCCTTTAAAACAAAGACCTAAAATGGTCCGTGGTACACTACAATTGCTTAGAGATGTGTTTGTTTCTTTTTAAAAACAAGACATAAGTAAGAAAAACAGACATAGTACTCAGTACCTTTAACTGAGTGGAAGTACTAATACCACACTGCAAAAATACTCTGATATATGACAGTGCAGCACCAATGAAGAAAAATCAGTGTTGAATGTGTGAAGCCTAAAATTGCATTCATCCTGACAACTTGTCTTTACAGAAGACACTGGCAGTCTATAATTGAAAAGAGAGCCAGGTCAAAGTTGTAAACCATCTTAGTTAAGGCAAAGCAGGTAAGTGTGGTGAAGTGTTGACCTAACCTAGTCTAAAACAATTTTATGTTCTTTCTGTGATTGGGATTAAAAACTATTCACTGACAACATGCTGATGGCAATATGCTGTTTTTGCCTATTTATATGAACATTTAAATTCCTAGTGAAAGAAAAACAGAGAAAAATTTCAGTCTCCTTGAGGAATTCCTCTGGTTTGCTGTCACCATCTATAGGACAGATGGAGTACTTCTGCTGTCATGTGTGTTCAGCATGAAAAATGTACTGTATACTTGAGGTATGCAGATTGAGGTATACAATTACTTGTTCTTGGAAGGAACAGCTTCTTTACTTATCTGACAGTAAAGTTTTTAATTTATTGTTATTTTTCCTTCACATATAGAGCCTCATATACCTAAAATAAGATAAACAGACATATAATCTCACCAGTGGTAGACGAAGTATTCTGATCCATAGTAATTCTACAGTGTCTAGTCAATATATTTGGTACAGAAACAGTTAACAGCTCTTGTTCTCTACTACAATTCCAATGTGTGACTTTTTTAAACATTATGTCCTCCCCCCTCATTTCCCTTACAGTGATTTGGTCCAGTTGTTTACCTTTTTCAGACCCTGAGCAACTTTTTTTCTAAAAATCACTGATGTTTTTATCGTCCTTCTCCACACAGTAAAATCCAAGTATCCTGTTTTGAAAACATAAGCACAAGTATTATGAGTGAAATTTACTTAAAGTCAAAAAGTGAAAGTAGGCCTACTAAACTTACTTTTGGTAAAGCTGTCAAATAAAGTAGTGGTGCACTACACTTGAGTCATTATAGAAACCAGGCAGTCCCTTTGTGCTTCAGTCTAGCTTGTGCCTAAAGTCTATTTTTGCTGCTGAAGCAACACTGAAACCAAGCTGCTTTGACCCAACATTTCCAAGGTCAACAAGAAATCTGTCTGCAGCTGACATGACTCCCAGATGTCTGACTGTATGGAGACAACTGTGAGTAAAACAAAACAAGACGGGACTCCAGGACTTCAGTCAGTTGTGATGTGTTTGACTCAACATTTGTTTGGCAGTCTGAAGACATGAAGGTTGACTTTGGTTCATCTTTTCCTCCTGTTAGGCATCCTGCTGGAGTAGAAAATCTGGTAGGGGGTGGCTGATCTGCTGTCTCTCCGGTGTGTTTCCGTTCTTGCTGTTAGACTGCTGAGATGTGTTTGTCACCTGTTGCATGCCAGGGGTGGCAAAACCAGCCCTGGCCAGTTCCCCTACTGTCAGAGTGATGGGGCATGAGGTCAGACTAGCAGAGACCAGTTCACTTTGGAGTGACAGGGAGCGGGGGGGTGGGGGGTGTTTATGTCTCTCTTTGGGTCCTCCCCCTTTACCACTGTAACTGAGAGGAACCTCCCTGTGTTGCTGTACGAGGATCAGCTTTCTGCAACATTAACCAAGACACCCTGTACTAACTCTGCACTGAACCCAGCGGCTCCAAATTTAGACACAGAGACACAGGGACAAACTTGTCATTTCAGTATGTGAACTTCATGTCCTGTTTATCTCATTTACACCCTCTTATTCTGAGCGCATACCTCAGCTCATTTCCAATTTCACATTATTCCTGTTAAGCCCTATTTTTTTTTTTATTGTGACAAAGCCCAGGCACTCCTTTTATTTCCAATCTCCTTATTTTGTTTTAACAGATGCAAAAGATAATCCCCCCCCCCCCCCCCCCCTATGTCTTGCTCATAAGAATTTGTTTACCGCTAACTGTGCCAGACTCAAGAAAATCTTTCTATTTCCATTTCATTATATAATCACACATGGATGTGCATTTGTGCTTATATAATTCAGTCCCCAACAGGATGCTTTGGACTGGATAGTGTCTGTGAATGTCTGGAGCGCGTTACTGTGATATAAAACAACCAGCCACTGGTTGCATCAGGAGTTTGGTCATAAATCACAACCATTAAAAACTGGGTCTGTGGTGGTGTGGACAGGCTATGCTATTTATCAGGCGGAGACAGACCATCATATGCTGTAATGGTGCCATGAGTTTTCATGACCCAAATCTGTGGTCATGTGTTATGTATGTAATACATCAGTAAGTAATGCCATGTCTGTGCATGGTAAGTGAATATGGTTTAATTTTTTTATTCTCTCCTGTTCTCTCTCTCTCTCTCACACACACACACATGCACAAACACACACTTTCATTCAGTGCATGTCCCCTCACGGTATCACCCTCCCACTCACAGCCTTACTGGTGGTATTCAGTCCTCCCTCTAAATACCTGTGACTGGAAGTGGTGGAAAAAGTACTCAGTTACTGCTTTAGTAGTAGTAAAAGTAGCACTAATATGGTGTAAAAATACCAAGTGAAATTCTAAATCTTACTTAAGTAAAAGTATTTCCATCAAACTATATTTGAAGTACTAAAAGTAAAACTCACTCTGCAGAATGGTTCATTTCAGTATATTATTGGATTATATTTAGTAATGCATTAATGTGGAAGCATTACTAATGTTGCAGTAGTGCTAAATATAACTAGCCTGCTAAACCTAGCTTCATCCATAACAATACATTGTAATAGTATTAGTTGATTTATATTTTGTTTTTATAGTCTGCAAAGTAACATATGTTAATAAATGCTGTAGCGTAAAAAGTGCAATATTTCCACTCTGAAATGTAGTGGAGTAGAAGTATAAAATAGCAGGAAATTGAAATACCCAAGTACAGTACAAGTTTCTCAAAATTGTACTTGAGTAGCCTACAGTAGCTTAGTTGTGTAAATAAATATACTTAGTTAAACTCCACCACCTGTAACTGGAGAAATCCATACCCCTAAATAAAGAGGACAGGAGTGAAAATCCACTCCAGTTAACCTCTAAAGGGGGCACAGGCTCAGTATGCTGCCTTCAGGTGCCAACAGCTTGTTTCTTCAAGACCTAAATTATTTTCTTTTACCCGCTGCACAGGTTCTGGGAGTCTACTGCGGACTGTAGCTAATAACCATGCACTACATTGTGGTGTTATTTACAGTTGAATGTGAGCTGTACTTTATTGTGCATGGTTATGGGTTAACAGGCATATTCAAATATACACCCTTTATAAATGGTTTATAGGCTGTAATTAATGGCTTTATTAATGCTTTATAAACATTTACCAATGCTCTATAGATCAGTTTTAAACCACTGACACCAGTTTCAGGTTAAAGGGTTGTGAGTTTTTCACTTTATTTTAAGCGTTCAAGTCTGCAGTAATAAATGTTAATAAGTCATTATTAAAAAGTCATGACTCTAACTTTCCAAGAAACCACATAATTTCAGTCATCTTCAATGATAGGACTAAATGTTAATAAATCTTTACTACATGGTCTCACATCTGGTCTCACATCATCTCTCACAGCAATTTATCAAATATGCAGTTGTAAATGTTATAAGGCTGTTAATAAATGGAGTAGGGTTCTAAAAAAAGCTAAAAGACAAAGCAAGTGTCATGCTGGAGAAGGATTTCCTTTGCAACCCGCTGTTCTTATTAATTACTTCTAGCTGATCTATAAAGCATCAGTAAATTATTTATTAACATGTATAAACCCTTTATAACAGGTTTCTTATTAGAAAATGGTACATTTCATTTTAAAATGCTGTTATAATATTAGGGTTTTTAATACCTGACCAGAGACAACAGAGGAAATTACCTAGGAAATTATCTAGGCTAAATCTGGCTCATTTACAATGAAAAAGAAATTGAATGAAAAATAGGTAGGCTATCAATAGCTCACTTATAGGCTACTTAGTCTGTGACATAGCCCTCTGTTTCCCATCAGTTGTTGGTCATAAAATAAACCTGAGGTGTAATGAAATAATTAACAGGGAAGGACAGAGCAAAAATAAAAATTTTCTGCTGTCCAAATCTGATTTCAGTTTTTAGACCTTTCACAAATCCTATTTGCTGTTTAGTGATATATTCCAGCATTTCACCCCTCCTGGCCTTAATTAGTTAAATGAAACCACCAGAGGAGGGTACAGGACCAAAACTCATGGACATGTGAAAGGTGACAAGACACTGTTTTTTGGAAGTGGTCTAGTTAAATAGACTGGGGATAACTGATACAAGTAACTCAAATTTGCACTTGCAAATGCAGTAGCTGAGTACATGTAAGCATACTTACAGTCCACAAAGCTGGCTATCACTGAAGGTCGCTCGAAGTGCGCACATCCCATTTTCACATCTCCGAGGGTACTTAAACGCATCCTTTACTCTGAGTCTGCTACGTCAGTGGTCTTTTAACGGAGCAGCAGTGCACTGAAGGTTTAGTACAAGCGAGACGGTTCTACTGCGGGACAGTCTTCACTGTCAACTAACTGTGAATTTGTACTGAACAGTCTTCATCCAGATGACCGTGACGCGAGAACGGCCGTTGACCTACGCTAAAATGAGAGCGCTTGTGTCGTTTTTCTCAGGTAGGTTTAAATCCATGGACTGTATATAAAAAGTTATATCTTGTTAACCGACGTAACATTAGATTCATTTTGACCGTTAACGTTTGCGCCGTAGCAACGCCACCGTTACATCATAACGTTACAGTCAAAAGTAACGGTCAACGCAAAAAATCCTGCTACAAGAGGCAAAATTGCCTTAACGTTGTATTAGAAAGAGGTGAACCCAATAGTAGGCCTAGAAGAGTATTATATTAAAGTAATATATATTTTAAACATTTATAAAGATAAGACATAACCTAAAAGTATCTGAACAGTTTCACAACTTCATAACCTGTTGAGTTAAACTGATATTACAGCTGTTGAACTCTTGTGACTAACTCCCTGCCTTTCTTACAGCTCTGCTCAAAGGGAAAAAAGTTGGCTTCAGTGACTTCTTACACAAACGTCTTTCCAGTCAACATCTATGCCAACAGTAAGTGAGAAAAACTTTATTATTTACAGCTTTTTACTTTGTGCTTAATCTGCTAAAAAGAAATCCAACATGTACTGTTTTTGACCTCCTGATTGAAGCCTGGACCCCCAGCAAATCCTGCAGCCACAGTGCAAGCTGAGAGGAGAGGAGGGGGACGAAGGCACAGTGGTGAGTACAGAGGGAAGGTTTCTATTAAATGATTAGTGTGCTGAGTGTTGACAGGAGATGAAACTAAATCTGACTGTCTTGCCCCTCAGTGTCTTTTCTCTCCTCAGGGCTCAGAGAACACGCAAACCTCACAGTAAGTAATTTTTACACCTGATGCCCGGAAATGTTTCATGTCATATAAAAGGTTCTGCAGAGTAACACTTAAAAGATACAGTCATAAAGAGATTATATGTTCTTGACTAAACTGTCACAAGCAAACAAAATAAAGGAAAATTTTTCTTGCAATATGCACTATTTTACTTGAGTGCCCCCACTTTGGAAACCACTGCCCTAAGTAGTCAGATAGATAGTTAAAAACAGAAAGTCTTCCTTTACTTAAATGTGTGATCACAACCTTGCAACCCAAAGGTTATTTTTATGAATGTATTAGCCTATTAACTCGTCTGTGTAGCATTATTAAATCATTTATTAACCACAAACTCAGTAATTAGTGTCACACAGCTTAAGATCTAATTTTAAGATTAATAATCTTATTATAAAGTAGCACTGTATCACAACACATATCTGACAGTTTTTTTTTTGTTGTGTTAACCAGAACGAAACCCTCAGATTTTGACTACCTCAAAGTCATTGGCAAAGGAAGCTTTGGAAAGGTAGCGATTTTTTGTTCTTGTAAATGTTTGTGGGGTTTTTTGTTTGGAAATTAAATGACACGGCTCAAACTTTTGTAGGTGTTGCTGGCAAGACACAGACAACATGGACGCTACTATGCTGTGAAAGTGCTGCAGAAACAGATTGCCAAAAGGAAAGAGGTGATCTATCTATCTATCTATCTATCTATCTATCTATCTATCTATCTATCTACTTACTGTATATGTTGTGTCTCTGAGGCAGAAGCATGTGATGGTTGAGAGAAGCGTACTACTGAAGGGACTACATCATCCATTCCTGGTGGGGCTCCACTTCTCTTTCCAGACACCAAATGCTCTCTACTTTGTCCTGGACTACGTTAATGGAGGGGAGGTATGTGTATTTTCTGTCAACTGTGAGATGGTTTAGTCTCCCTTTGCCCACAACCATCACTTGGGAAAGGAAAGGTTTCAGATATAGACTAGAATTTACAAATCTTTAGCATATTACCAACATAATTAGCTACATATTTCTTAAGCCAACGCATACAGTTTAGTTTAAGAGATGCCACAAGTCATTTTGAGACCAGCAGTCATCAAAGCCAGTGTCAACCAGTTGTAACCAGTCCCTCCATGGTGCTGCTATTGTGTTGAATTTCGTTGTCATTTGTGTAGTCTGTGTATGTGACCACACGTGTTTGTCCTCAGCTTTTCTACCACCTTCAGAGGGTGGGGAAATTTCCTGAACCCAGGGCTGCTTTCTATGCTGCAGAGATGACCATGGCACTGGGCTACCTCCACTCTCTTGACATCGCTTACAGGTAAACACACGCACACACACATACACACACAAACAGACAAGCCATTGCAAAGTCACTCTTCCAAGTTTGTCTTGGCTCACTGCCTGCTCACTTTCTTTGCTCATGTTTGATTTAGACGTGTTCCACATGGTTTAAATGATTCATGCTGGGAAATCCCAATGAAATGTTCCCTTTAATAAGAGAGCTCCGCATAGAAAATGTTATCACTAAAAACCCTCCAATGCCACATTTAAAAATAACCAGTAAAGGGAAACAAGGTGAAGCCAGAGAAAAGGGGAAACAAAAACAACAGCAATATTCAGTTAGTAACAGTTTTGTTCCATCTGTTTCCCTGCCAGAGATCTCAAACCAGAGAACATCCTGCTGGACAGTGAGGGTCATGTAATGCTGACAGACTTTGGGCTTTGTAAAGAAGGCGTGGCCATAGGCGGGATCATGCATACATTCTGTGGGACTCCTGAGTACCTCGCTCCTGAGGTGCTACAAGGCCGCCCATACAGTCCAGCAGTGGACTGGTGGGGCCTCGGCACTGTGCTTTTTGAGATGCTGTATGGACGGGTGAGTGCAGGTGAAGTAATCTTTTTCCTTTCATCGAATCACCTTCAGCATTTTCACCTTACTCCGTCTCCCTGTTCTGTCTCTCAGCCTCCATTTTATAGCCATAGCAAAGCAAGGATGTTTGAGAACATACTTCACGCTCCTCTGCAGCTGCGTAGTGGGGTGTCTAGGGCTACCCGCTCACTGTTGAAAGGATTGCTGGAAAGAGACGTCTCCAAACGCTTAGGGGCGAGCCGTGACCTTGTAAGTGCACACAAACAAAAAAACAAAAACCAAGCAACGATGCACGTAAACACACATAACCACAGAGGGTCTAATTCAATGTGTCTTCAGGTGGAGCTGCAGGAACATCCCTTCTTTGCATCCATTAACTGGGACGACCTCCTGGCCAGGAAAGTTAGACCTCCGTTCATCCCAAAAGTGGTACAAGCAATACAGCAATAACAAAATGATAATAAATGAAAAATAATAAAAAATAATAAATGACCGCACAGTATACTTGAGTGTTTGTGTTTATTCCCCTCTCCTCTCCAGAATGGTCCCTGTGATGTCAGCTACATCGACCCTGTGTTCACGCTACAACCTGTCCCTGCCTCCGTGAATGAGAGGTGCCAGGCAGGCGGGGGCAGGAGCAGCGAGGCCTTTCAAGGATTCTCCTTCACGAACCCAGCAGAGTACATGGCAGCAGAGCCGGGTTCTTAACAAATCCAACCAAATCCTCTGGGAGCATGTTTGTTCAAATATTTATTTTTTATGTCATACATTTTTAAATCAATGTCTATTTTTAAACATTCAAGCAAAAAATTCTTACACTAACACAGTAACATTGGTTTCACTACCAAATTATAGCATATTTTTAAGTTATGTTAAGTATCAATGTGAAATAGGCTGGACCTAGCTACCTCTATGTGTTGAATGATGAAACAATAAACACTCAATCTGAAGCAGTTTTATTTATTTTAACACTTTTCATTTATATCTTTAAAATATACAATAAACATTATATTGCAACTTTCCCATTCTACTGTTACATTCTCAGCTTACAAAAGTAAAATACTTTACAGGGTGCCCGTATATCCTGCATAGTCACAGAGGCATTGTGCATCAAAAGCAAAACACAGACAACATCTCATTGTGGCATTTACATGTACACAATAGGATGCCAGTCTGTTTGCAACCCGTAAACACAGATTGGACCCAGCTTTGACTTAATGTCACGGTAAGGAAACGGTGAGGAGTCTTTTTTTTTAGTGACAAACAGAAAAAGCCCATCACTGAGGAGAATCTAATGGTGTCTCCAGGAAGAGAACATCTGTTCTCATCTTTTCTACCTCACTTCACAAGACTGACTGAAACAGCTAATACACAGAGTAGCTTTCTGTCTCAGTAGAGACCAAGTTTCAGTAGAGGCTGAAGGAGGCGTAGCTCTGGTCACTCTGGCAGGTGAAGTAAGCAATCAGCTGACCATTGCAGATCATCAGAAACAAGCCGCTACCTATGGAACAACAAAAAATGTATAAGAGAATTGAGCTCATACAGTTAAATGCAATAACTTCCAGATCAGTTGCCGGTAATGTTTGTTTTACCTAAAGCCAGCCACCACTGCCACACCATGGGAAACTCCAACATCACTGCAACATGTAAACAAAACGTGCAGTTTCACAAAACATTCTGTAATTTGCCTGTGCACCTGGGTGGATGTATTGTTAAACGTGCGCACACCTAGGCTGGTGATCATTATATGCACAAGTGTGACTGTGACGGCGTAGTCCCAAACTCGCCTCCTCACCACTGCGGCAAACAGAAGGCCGCTGCAAAAGTAGGTGAGCTCCATGGACAGGAGATTCACTGAGGAAGACCAACATAGTAAAAAAGCACAAAGTGAAAAACGTTCACGCTCATTTTCGATCATATTGGCTGCATTCAGTGTGCTCACCCAAGTACTTGGAGTTGGATTCAGCAGGTTCGGTCTTAAAGTCAAATGGAATCAGTCCGTCAAAGTGATCCAACCTGAATGAGGGGTGAGATAAGAGGGTAAACTAGTGCCTGCAGAAAGTGTGTTAAACTACTGGAAAGTGTAAACACATCTCATCTCTTGGCACCAGGTAAAAGGAGTCTCCAGGTAAAAGGAGTCTCCAGATAAAGGCTACATGGTGTAGATAAAGTAATGTAAACACTTTTTAGATAACTAAAAACTGTAATCATGGATCCATGGCCAGAATAACCCACTGTGCTGCCCAAGTAAAAAATAAAATGTTTAGACCTCCTGCTTTATGTGCATTGTGTCCCATAATATACATATAAAGTACAAACTTCATATGGCTTCATATTTTGCCTACAAAACCAGAAAAAACTACCTGTCATGGTTTGCTATGTGTTATCAGTGTACACAATTTTAAGGACAACATTAACTAAAAAGGGTTCTTATGTAGAGGGGCTTAGGGCACCTATACATTCGTAAAGAGGTAAAGATGCAGGACACATATTAAAAAACTTACAGTTGCATATAGGTTGCTTGTATTAAATTTAGTTTCATCTTGGGCTGTCTTGTTCATTGCTGAGACTGGTACATGTCATAAATGCTGGGACTGTTCCCCTTTGCCTACTAGATCATTCTGCAGTTATTTTGATAGTTGCACTGGGAATTTGGTTACGGGTAATTGTGCCACTTTGAACCTCTGTTACTTGACTGAAAATACTCAAAGTGATAATTTCCAGACCTCCTATAAGGCTCCTCTGCGTTCAATTTTGCATTTATTTAGCAGTGTTTATGGACTATGTCCCCTTATTAACTACCCCCTGTTCATTACAGCAGATTTGTAGATATATACAAAGATGCTTTGAAGAGCTGGTTTGCGCGCACACTTGCCTCTGCCCATGCAAGCAAAAGATTCTCACCTGAAAGCACCGAAGCACACACTCCCAATCATGTAGAAAAGGGAGTAAAATATGACCAGACACAGTAGCAGATTGAAGAGCACGGCCTGTGGGGTTGAGACATAGAGAGGGAGAATATTTCACAATACAGTATTTTCTTTATCTAGTAGGCAGCACCACATATTTCACACGTAACGCAACATTATACACAACACTAACCTGGAGCTTTGTTGGCAGTTTTACATATGATAGGCTACTTGGCTGCAGGGGGAGAGATGTGCGCTGCAGGTACAGACAGCGACTCTATCTGCTGCAAAACCTGACCTGCTGCATACATTTGGGTAATAATAAGTGAGTTTTTTCTATCTGTACATCACAAAAATCGACCTACGGTATAACATAGCCTGTCGTTCCCTCTCCATGTATTTTATCGCACATGATATCCCTGCAGTCGATTCTGATTAACAGATCCCAGAGACGCCTGATCGGGGAGGCAGTCGGCTAGATAATGACACGGTAACTGTCCTCTTACCTTCGACTCGACCGCTTTCCCTTTGAATGCCATCTCATGGTTTGTACTTGATATTATATTACAAAATAAAGCAGGCTGCAGCACGGTGCACGACCCCGTTAATCCCCTCGCCAAGAAACTGGTCTTCTCCTGCCATCTAGCGACAAACACAGGAGCAGCACCGCCGCTTCCACAGCCGAGCACTGAACTCGTTTCACCTCCTAGTATCAGGGCGGCCTTTGTTGACTGAAATAAAGACTTATCACACAATACCTGTTTACTAGAATTTGGATAAATAGCCATGGATAATATCGCGATTTTCTGTTCATGTGGAGTGTAGGATATTGCCATCAAAAAAATGGCTAAAATGGGCCAAAATATCTGTAGCTTTATTATACCGGAGGAACCACAACCGCCCTATGTGGGAGGGATTGAATACTGCAGGGTAGCTGGAGATCAGATGGTTGAACATGATTATTTGGACCACTGGCGACCCAGCAAATACTTAAAATCAATTTAAAGACCCCCAGTACCCACAATAATCTCAGGATATGATCAAATTGATTTGCTGTCACATTAAAATCTTACATCCAGCAGCCTAGACGTGCCATAGGAGGTGCAACATACTGCGACACACATGGCTTCTTGGATCTTTGATATTAACCAAAATTAAACCCTACAGAAGTATTTTAGCTCATGACTTCTTTTTGTAAGGGTTTGATTAGGCTAAACTCAATGTGTGTGTCATCCTGTTCGAGTTAATTTAACGTTACTGGTTTTGATGGAGCTCATATACGCACCAACCGACGTGATGTGTTTAAAAAACAAGCCAAACCCAGAGTCTGTGTGAAGCAACGCATTCTGGTTCGTGTTTGGTTAAAAAAATGTCACTTCGGGTGATTTTCCAGGCCTGAGTATTTAATCCTACAGTTAGCACCGGCTTGTAAACACCGGTTATCGCCTGTGCTCGGGAAGAATCTACACAGTTTGGCTGTTTGACGATGGTAGAGGGTTTAAAACTGGGGAGAAAACAGCTACTTTGAGCAGAAGGGAACCAACCGCTCCTCAACGTTTATGGAAGACACTGCGGTCTCTGCGCTCCGTTGATACACACTCGTACTTCTCCAGGGGAAATACTTATATGGCTGTTATGAGCAAATGGGAATATTAGCCCCAGCCTATCGGTAGATTCCTTGTATCGGCACCGAACTGAGTTTTGGGCGTGCTGTAAGTGCAAACAGGCCTGGTATTGACCACCGATAGTAAACTGAACTTTTCCGAGACCCAAAGTTGTCAGGCAGCGCATCTTACACGCATGCGCATCCTTCTATCCAGCTCTAAATAAGAGTTAAAACAGAAACGAGGTGAGTTCCATATTTTTAAAACAATACGGGCGTAAATACTAATTTATTGCTGTTAACAGTGGCGACTTTTGAAAAAGCGGCCTTCGTTTTGCTAATTAGCGTTAGTTCGCATTATTTCCACGCTGATTTAAAACGGCGATAATAAATCGTTTTTTTTTTCAAGTTTCTATTGAAGAAATGAATCAAGCAACACTGTTGAAGCTTGTAACAGTAACGCCGTGTTATTCCGAGTGTGCGTGATAGTGTGCGAAATATTGGCGTTTTGCTAAATGCGTTTTCCTATTGTTATTAACCGGGAAACTTATTTATTACAGATTGTCCTTAGCTGGCTGCATCCAGTCACAATGCTACGGCTAGCTGTCTAGCAATCCTCCGTTCAGCTGAACGGAGTGGAGCTAGCTGACTGTTAGCTTTATATCAGCGCTAGCTAGCAACCTGGTCTGACATTCCGTGACAAGGGGAAAGTGAAGAAAATAACCCGAGTGAAGGAAAACATCAAGTCAGGAAATTACACAGCAAGCAGTTGCTTTTGTTCAACGTGTAGCGGCTTTACATTATTTGTTTAAATGGGTAACTTGAGTAATTTACATAGTTTAAACGTGTTGGTGGCCTCTTCCTATGCTCCGCCATTTTGTATAAGACGAATGCTAATCATGGGCGCTCTTACATACACTTTATTTATGGCTAGAATAAAACTGAGGTATTAAGTGCAAAGTCAAACTTAATCAAGGTCCACCAGCTCGGGCTGTTGTTTACTTTTCGCATGGTTATAAACAGCATACAAACAGAAAATATCACCTTAATTCTGTGTTGAACATGCGTCAAGACCAAAACAATATACCGTAATATTCGTCGGAATAAAACGCTTTTAAGTTTGGCCAGTCAGTGCAGAAAACAGTGTTCTCTTTAAAATTGATAAACAAATGACCCTCTCAGTTGTTTATAACCAGGCAAACAGCCGGGTTTAAGAGATACTGTTAAAACAAGGAAAAGATGAACTTGTGTGGTTAACTTAAAGTTGAGGCATTTTTCCTCATGTTTGTCAGTGATCCTGATGAAGGTTCACTCGGATGGGGTCGTTTATGCACGTATTTCCCCGTTAGTTGACCAGCAAAACAATATTATTATTGACTGTGATGTGTGAAATCGAAATGCATGGTGTACCCTACAAGCCAGCACACACTCGCCATCTAGCGGTGATGTCGGACAATGCTGTTTACAAGTGCAGAAGCTGCATTTGTCGTTGGGAGCACTTTGCAGGTAAAACCATTCAGGGGGGCTGCTTCACTGTGATAATCACCCACAATCAACCCAACAGACGGAGAAAAATAAGATAATTTAAGTCAGAGATGTGAATATGTTTACTCAACCTCTGTTGTATTTTGCACATTTGCAACCTTTTTCTGTCAATTTATGACAATATCTTTCATTTGACTTTTATGTCTTTGCAGGGATATTGGCCGAGTGGGAATGACTGACACCCCACCCAGTGATGGCCCCTCCCAGGGAGCTGATTTTGACATTATGGGTGCTCTGGACTGGAAGGATGGTATTGCTACGCTGCCTGGTAGTGACATCAGGGTACGACATATGTGTTCCTGTCCAGGATACACATCCCATATTGTGTAAATGCTCGTGTTTCTGATCACACACACTCACATTCATGTTAGGTTAGGTTTGCTTTCATAGCAGAGGTAGGCCTTCCCACTGAAATTAATACCACCTCTGCTAACTTCATTAAAAAATGTTATTAAAGAAAACACTAACTTTCAGGGGAAAAGAGAGAGAGCTATTTCAAACTGAGTATGCCACATATTTAATGAGTGTAACTGTTTAGGTTGTCTACTACTCTACTGGGCTCAACAACTTCCTGGGAGAAACCCTGATGAGCATAACTGTTTTTTTCCCTGTGTCCCTTTCAGTTTCGCATGACAGAGTTTGCGACTCTTGAGATTGTCACAGACGTAGAGGTCAAAGGGCAGGAGGCACAGCCTAACTGTAAGACCTTGGACCCAGCGCAGTCACACACTCCCACCCCTCCACCAGAGGGCCAATCACAGACTGGCACAGCCACAGCTCCAGCCAATCACAGTCAGCCAGGATCTTCTCAAGCTAAAGGTATGACAGCACATTTAACCATCACAACACTGTCATTGGAAAAAAATGTAGTTTTTGCTTTTTCTGATCTTCCGATGTTTTGTATAGTGAAGATTCTCAGTTTCAGCCCTTGTTTCTGCCTTGTCCTCTAGCCCCCGGTCCTGTACTTCTGTCATTAGAGGAGGGCCCCAGTATGGAGGGCCCCAGTGTGGAGGTTGGTCCCAGTGTTGAGGTTGGCTCTAGCACAGACATGGGCCCAAATGGGGAGCTGTCAAGGTGCCGGGCCTGTGGTGGCCATGTTTCCCGGGATGCCCTCTTTCAGGGCAAATTCTGTAGCTCCATTTGTGCCCAGCCCTCTAGTGGCAGGTAAAATGACACATCTGACCTTCTCTTACACCTCTTTGTTGTCCTTCAGATTATTTTGTTTTGTTGTTTCATCACGAGTCAAATCTTTCTTTTCTGCAGATCGTCTCCAGGGGAAGCAAGGGAGAGTCAAGCAGTTGAGGGTGAGAGGCTGGGTAAACGTGTGCGCAAAAAGAGGAAGATCTATATGGATTCTGGTGATGAAGAGGAAGACAACCAAGAGGAACCAGAGGTAAGGAGCATGCTCTTTGTATTTGTCTCCACTGTCTTTCCCAAGCATTGGCTTGCTGTAATAACAAAGGTTTTCTAACAAAGTATCTTCTTCTGGAGTTTTTCTATTCTCACCGTTTCTCATCTTCTTTAAGTTGAGAAAACATGACAAGACAGGTAAGAAAAAAAGTTGATAGTTCTGATGATTAATGTGTTCTTTTGTGTCACCTTTTTTGTAGGAAAAAGCCAAGACTACCAAAGGAAGAAGAGGTGCAAAAATTGCCAAACTGGGTATGTTAGACTGCTGCTAGACATGCTGTTTCTAAATCCCATTAAAATCTTTAAATCTTTAACCTCTTGTCCTCTGATAAATCAAATTTTGTTAAAATGTTTGAATATAAGTCAAATTTTTTCATTGGCATTTGAATTGACATCTTCAAATATCTTAACTCTAATGTATGAAACTTATAGGCATCCTGTGTCTGTAGTGTGAGACAAGACAAGAATGAATGAGAGTTTGTGTTAATTGGGTATCTGTAGGTTATATCAATATTATGAGCAAGTGTTTACATATAGAGTAATACATCAGAACATTTTTTACTAGGGATGCACCGAAATGAAAATTCTTGGCCGAAGCTGAATATAATGAAACAATTTTGCCGAATACTGAACAAGTACATTCACATTTTTTCCACTTATTTTGCTATTTTTCTTTCCATTGCATAAAATAAATAGTCAAAATGTGCTTTTTACTTAGTGTTTCCCACAGGATTTGGAGAGACTATGCTGGGTGGGTCCAAGGCCCGAGAGGGTCCGGTAAAATAAATTACATGTGTCCATTTACTTTTAATGGACACATGTAATATATTTTATACTTTCTATGAATATAATCCAATTAATCTTATTTCCATCGTGTATAGACACCTTATTTTGAAAACTGGACGTTGTCACATGTGTATCCTCACGCTAAATGCAACAAGTCCAACCCAATTTGATAAATAATGTTGTATGTAGTTCTTATATCGCATAACATGAAGACTTCACAACCTCTCTTCAGGTAGGACTCTCATACTGCAACACTTGTCTTTGTAAAGAGAGAAAATGACAGGATAAAGTCACTAACCTGCCTGTCAGCTCGCTCTGGTCCGTTGCAGTTACCATAAAGGCTGAAGTACGTGTGCACTCCAAATGTAGGTGCGGCTAGCTCAATTGCTTCAAAGCAGGTCAGATTGTCTGTCGTCTTTTCTAAGAACTCAGCCACAGATGGTGTGGATGTTCTAGGAGACAATTCAGCAGAACAGTGTCTGCAAACAACAATTTTTGCGTATTTCTCAGACACTTTAAAATGCTTCCACACTGCCGACATGTCAACGTAATTGACTTATTAGGCCAAACACCGAAAGGGCTTTTAAAAAATATTTTCAGCCGATGAATTTCGGTGGCTGAACATTCGGTGCATCCCTATTTTTGACTCCTAATTATCTTGTTATATGAACTTCTAAATCACGGTTTAAGAAATGCTGATTCTAATAAAATAACTCAAATATGCTGCTGTATGTTTCTCATGAATGGTATGAGCGGACATCCCCAGCTACAGTACATAATACTTTGTATTTTTTTGCCCAATCCTCAGTGACCGCCCCACCCAATAAGAAACGGGCATGGAGCTGGCCTGCTTACTTGGAAGAGGAGAGGGCCATTGCTGCTCCTGTTAAACTGTTCAAAGAGGTATCCCCCCCCCGTATTCACTTGCCAATTTGAT